GGGGGGGGGGGGGGTGAAAGGTCAAAATAATGTAGTGCTATTGGGGGAGATCAATTGAACAAGTCCAGCTCATTTTTTTTTAAATAATAAATGCCTTTTCTGACATTAATCCTTGTTTCTATTCCCTAACTTAGTTATTACTTATCAAAATTCATTTATTGCCCGCACATTGTTTGTCTCGTTACGATGAGGTGCTGCTCTACGTCAACGAGATTTTAAGAATGTCAAAGGTCGAGGGTGGTGTCCGAGCCCGTGTAATGTTCCTCGTCTAACAGGGGTTCTTGTTCCATCACCATCTGAACTGCGAACAAAACTCTGCATGCATACCAACGAATACAGCACAAAAAAAAACAAAAAATATAATGCAGTGCAGTAAAGTTTGTCTCAAGATATTTTGATGTGGCTCATAAGATCGTGGTCATTCTTAATCGTCAATAATAATAAATACATTGTTTCGTAGGTTTACTTGACACTAACGTGAGAGCCAAGCGAGAGCGAAGATGCACAGCCAACATAAAATGACAATACTGTACTGTGAGGAACCTATCACCTAAGATAACTGAAGCAAGAATCATCCACCAGTGAGAAAGGAGAGATAGGTAAAATAACAGAAAGCCAGAGAGTTAAAGAAAACGATAAGGAGAACAAAAAAGTAAGAGCAGAAAATAAAACGGAAGTAAGACAAGAGAAGGACGATAATAAATGATGATTTAAGTTTTTGGGTGAAAGATAGAGAAGAACCAATCGCGCTCACTTGGATGAGGTCTTTTACGAATCAGCAGATTTCACTTTTTTTAGTTCTTTTTTCTTCTCTCTTTATCGTACAACGTGCTTTTTATTAGCATACACATTATTATCGGTTAATCATCAAGAGTATCATGATGTATGCTCGAATCCTGCGTTCTTATATAAAATTCTAAAAAGTATTTTGCACCTTGAATTATAAGAATACAGACACGTTACTATCGTTACATCTACGCGCCAGATTCTAGAGAGGCTAGTACATCCTGCGTTACATATATCAACTCTGTCTTATGATACCGCATGATACGGCGTAATAACGGTGCGATACGATGCGCAGAACGATATGATTTGTATTATTAGTGTTTCGTTTCTTTTTTTTTAATTAATCCCCTCCAATGTATTAACGCGAGTCTCGTGTCGTCATGAATTATATCCTATAACAAGCATCGTATCACTTTTATTTATTCATAGATCAATTACAGATGATTATTGATCGCGTCACAGGCATATACAAGTTATTGATGTACCGATGCGACCATTCGCACATTTTTCATTTATCTCGATTTTGGTAAGATGTCGCGCCGTATCCATTGTACAATAAAAATTGGTGATAGGGCCCTTGTGCACGCAATAGAACCAAAACTCAATTGTATTATCATTGAAAGACCAGTTAACTAAATAAAAATGAGCGGATTGTCGTGACGGGATAAAGAAAGTAAAAGATACGAACGAAAGATAAGAAAGCATTTGAAGGCGGTATAGAAAGATTGAAAGATTGAGGTGGCATGAAGGAAGATTAAGAGTGATTATATGATGCGTGCCCCCAACATATGAAATTACAGAGAAGCGTATTTGCGTTTTAATCGCTCAGGAAGACAACCCATCACCAATTTGTTCTGACACAAGCTCTCGTCTCGGCACTCCTGTTATAACCTTTGAAAATACCTGAGGTCAGACGGCGTCTGTACAATAATGATCCAACGGACTGAAAGAGACACGACGCCGACCTGACAAGAAGTGAGCATAAAATGCAACGCGTGATAATGAATGAATCGCGTCTTCTTGCTACGGCTGGGTATGTATTTACAAGATAATTAAATCGGTGGGAATTTTCGTGATAAAAATTCTACCGGTTTCTCCTCCTTATTTCTTTTCTTTTCCCTTTCATGTTTTTTTTACAACACTTGGGTATTCCTAGTTCGTTCTCTCCTAGTGCATCCAAGCAATAACGACAGGGCAACATTCATTATCACTGACTGTTCTTCCCTAATGGTGCTTTTTTAACGACCTAGTACGTTGGGACCTGCTAGTACCATTTTTCTCTGATGAGCCTGACACGTGGAAACCGGTGACGCCACTGGTGTTAATACCTACGCCGGAACCACTGCGCTGCTGAGCACCACCGCCTGTTGGTATCCTGAAGAGCATGATATTCATGTGATCGCAAATCTCCAGGCAGATCTGAGCACTGTAGCGCAGGAGATCCAGTGTCACCCAAATCTGTGAGAGTAAGCATAACATTTGTTCAGTTTATGTTTGTTATTATGACAGTAACAGCTACTTACAAAACAGAGCCAGAGAACGTAATATTCATCGATAAAGAAATTGAAGTATTGGTTTAGAAACAACATTGCTGGTCCAATCAGTGAGCTGTCCAAATATTGCATTTCGTTCTTAGTCATATGAGCTACCTGGATAAAAAAGAAGCTTATATTTTTTCCGTATACAATGAACAAGATATTATTGTTTATTTGAGAGTTTGGACAATAGTTTACTTACCACAAGGCGATTTGTCACCTTAGCAGCAACCATTCCAAAGGCAAGTATGTAAAGAGCGGGATGATTTTCATAGACATATTCAGTGCTTTTTCGGTATATTATGAATGCTGGCACCACCACAAAACTGAATGGAATTATCGGTGACAATACTGATGTTCCCTGAAACAGAATTCCTTATATGCGGCACCCTGTCATCTGCATTTATGGCAAACTATTAGTGTCATTAAAAAAGTAAGAGACAATTTTCGTTTTAATCAAAAGTAATACAGTCATGTTTCTCAATAGTGTATATATCTAGTAATTTACTGCTGCAATGACCAAAAAGAGATCACCGAATAAGATGTTCTCTAGTGACAATAACAGAATGTCCTTAGCTGCATCACATGCATTGAAAATGACACTGGAGGGATAAAAGTGCATGTTCACTATTGAGAGACCTGTCTATATCAGAAAGAAAAAATAAAAACAAAACATCTACATACCATGCAACATGCTGATTTGTCAGAATTAATAACTTAGTACTTGGTAAGAAGAAGTTTTACCCAAATTATGGAAATAAAGTAGGATGGATTGAAAAGAGAAGGCATAATCATAGGTATAAAGCAGTAATACAAAGGTGAATAAAAGCAATGCATAGAGTGCAATAAATGTGTCGACTGTAAAGTTAAATCAATAGAACAAAGAAGAGGACTTAACTACAATGTAGACATAAAAGAGATAGAATAAAAAAAACGTAACATTGAATACGAAGAACGGAAAAGAACAGATAGCTAATCAAGAAGACCGTATTCTATCTCTATTATCTGACTTACTGCAACAGTCGAACCGTTCTTTCCAACACCACCGGCGAGAATCACGGAAATGCTGCTATATGCTAGTAAAACGGCGATCCCCACAGCAGCCCATAATGGAAAGACCTTCACCTCTGTGCCAGTATATGGCAACTGCATAATCGAAATAATGAAACACGGTACAGTTAGTCACTACAGTCGATGTATTGGAAAGGGAAACAAGAAATAAAGTGTCGGATAATATTTGGTAGGAGTGACGAGTAATAGGATTCAACGCTCTGTTTAACCAGAAAGAAAATTACAAAGAGAACCTCCCTACAATCCAGCCAACTTAACCAAGAGAAGGAAAGCCAACGTAGCCGAGGCTTCCACAAGAATAGAAGTGTTTCTAAATCGACGTAGGTAACGATAACCGGTTAGCAGTATCTAGAAGTAGATGTGAGGAAGCATAGGGAACCGCATCAATTATAATACAAGTCAAAGCGTCATGTGGGCGCAGCGCCGCGACGCTAAAAGAGAGAGATATATAAAAAGGCGTAGATAAATGAGAGAGAATTGTTATGTTTTTTATTCTACAGAAGCAGCCAATATCTTTTCGTTTCTATTTTAGCGGTTGCTCCTGTTGACTTACAGCAATGGTAGAGCCATTTTTGCCGACACCGCCGGACTCAAAAACCTTACAGAATTCAAGGAACACGTGAACGTAGCCCATGTAAACTATAACAGCTACGAAGTTACTGAGAGTGCCAACTCCTAGCAGGGGGATCTAAACAAATTGAAGAAATTTCTGCCAATTAGATAAGAAGGCATTTCAATGACTTTGAACACTACATTACGTCTTTTCAATAAAGCTAGAGCCATGGTCACAAAAAATGAAAACTAAAGATATAATTGACAACTAATTAACCGCTCCAATAAATATATTTACAGCTTTTCTTGGTATCGGATTTGTTTAAACGTGATGGCCTGTTTTGCTCTTTATTTTTTTAGATAATTATGAGTTTAATTTTTTGTTATGACTACTCCAGATTTATTGATGTAGTGACACCTGATCGCTCTGTTCGGGAAATGCAATTTGAGCAACATGTGATAACACGGCAGACGGACTAAAGAATATTACATGTCCTACGTTTTACGCATGATAATTTTGTATAATTCAATCATATTATGTAATGTTTTGTCTAGGTGTAGATCTAATAACGAAAATTTCACTCCGGAGTAAATGGAGCAGATGAGCTAAGTTAGGTGCTACATTAAAGGTTTTAATATATGAGCAACGTAGGGGTAAAATTGCTAATAATACAATGGGCGTATTCGACAGGCCAGTTCTTTCTGTGGTCGTGTTGTTTTATCTTGACTAGTGAACGAAATTTAACTCTGCTTTGTTAACATGCATATGGCTAACGACTTTAAGGCACGAGGAAGCCGCTGGTAATAAAGATAGTAGGAGGAAGAACAAGAATATATTGGGTTGGCATGAAAGTAATGAGGCACTCTAGAAAACTCGACACATGCCTTTTTTCAAATTAATTGTTTTTGAGCATATTCTAGTATGTTGTAGAACATTCTAGATACTTCCACTCTGTGGGTACATACAATAGAATATGGTCAAAAACAATTAATTCAAAAAAGGACATGTGTCGAGTTTTCTAAAGTGTCTCATTACTTTCATGCCAACCCAATAAATTTTCTTTCAAGTGCTATTTATGATTGACTCAGAGGAACGTGGCTTCTGTTATCAAAAAGAATTTTAAAAAAGGTATGAAAGGAGAAATAATAATTCTCATACACTTGAAAGAAAAAATTTGGGGATACCGAGACAGATACGAGTAAATAAGGATCAGTAAGTCCAATGGTATAATCCAGAAACAAAAAGAAATAATAAGCAGTAAGAAAGAAAATATATACATAAATGTATGAAATGAAACGCTGAATACGTATTAGCCCAATGATAGTTTCCCAGAAGCTATCAAATTCCATAGGAAAGTAGGATCCTTAGCCAGGAGGATGTTTGTTCGAGAAAAGAGTAATAAAGAAAAAGTAAATTGAAGAAAATAAAAGACAACGTATAGGAAGAATAGAAGTGGAATGGATTTGGTATTATGTCAGGCAAACATAGTACTCCATGACGTTTACCAATAGGGAATTTCGCAGCATATGATCCAGTACGTAAGGTGAATGAGATAAACCATTAATAAGTTAACTATTAAGTAAATTCAGCACCCCTCCTCATGCCATGCAGTTCCCGTTTCTGCATCTCTAACCGAAAAGTCTAGCTATTGAAACTTACAGCCACAGTAGAACCGTTCTTGCCAACTCCACCGGTGAAAATCACGGAAAACATATTGTTTAAGCTTGATAATGCACCCGCCACGGTTATGATTGCTATGAAATATCTAAATTCAAAACCATGTATGAACGGTATCTGGAAGAAATGTTCTAGTTAGAATCGTGAGCCAAGTCCTTTCAGGGTCCTACACGGATATTTGATTCTCCAATATGATGGCGCTCATTACATTGAGAACTATCGCCTGTCAGTTCCTATTCTACGATCACGTTGCCGTTAGCGAGTAGATCAAGAATCGAGGGACTAAAAATTCATAGGGTATCATTGCGAGTACATTTTTTAAAACAATAATTGATCAATTGTGTAGAAGTTTATGACAGATACAACCTTTGTCATCCAAATCCTAGGACCAAATATGGCTGAGACCAAATGAATTCCAATGATGGTGAATTGAGCTTCAGTGACATCCACTTTGCCGAACCTCAATGAACCTATGGAACAAAAACGGAACGGGTTAAATAGTATTTGACTGAAAGTAGGTTGATCTGCAGAGCTACTGGAAGATATGTTATATCAATGTTTTTGTTGGTGTTTAATTTTATAAATTTACATAGTGGATTAATACTCACCAGATACATAAGTTTGCCAGTGTGCACAATAAAATAATGTCATTGCACAGAAACATTGAAAAAACATCCAAGTTGGATAGTGTCCTAGCTGTACAGCAATACAGGCAGAAAGAGCTACAAATACTGAAAGAAATAATAAAACTGTTAAAGATTCATATATCGAATAACCAAGAGCATCTAAGAAAAAAAATATACAATAGAAGTACCAACCTGTTGAAACAGAATCACATCCATGATCAAAGAGTTCACCTAAAGGTGTGGACGTTCCAGTACGTCTAGCCTGCTTCCCATCTATAGCATCCAAGCTTTGGTATACAAAGAGGCCCAGGGCACATAAAAAGCATGCCCATCGTGGTGCCTGAAAACATGAAACAATGTAATAGGTAACAGCTAAAAATAAAAAGTTGCAAACAGCATAAAAGATCATTAATCGTAATCATAACATTAAGTGATGATAAGAACGTAACCTGTCAACATACCTCAGCTTTAGCATCAGGACTATAATATACAAGGACAAGTGTAGTGGCAATGTTGACGAAAAGACCGATAACTGTAATAAGATTGGGCGCGAGCCAAAGTGGCACCTTGCTGACGAGCCATTCCCACCAGGGTTGAAGAAGTCCGTCAAGCAAGCTGACACTGGTACAGCTGTACTTATGCTCAGTGAGCCGTTTCAACTGTCCCGGTGACAGGAGCCTCTCCTTATAGAATTGCATTTCTGCTTCACTCCAATAATCCCTTCTTCAATATCTACCGATGAAATTACGTTCACGTATCACTCATCGATTCTCACTTTCGCAATGCCTTTTTTCGCGATTATACTGCTCGCCTGCTAAAGTCGTTGAATAATGAAGCGAACGACAAACACACTCAACATCCTACATCGGCCGTACCGGAACCAATGAAAAATTTGCAAACTGTCGTAGAACGCAAAGTGTCTGCTTCGTTTCAGTTCCGGAAGTCTAATTCAACGTCATCTAACAGTTCTTACGTGTACTTCGTATTTACTATTTGTTTGTTTCCTATTTATAATTTTCATCAGATTCTCGACAGATGATACTAGTATAGCATTGCATTTTTAAGTTCAGAAGTAAGAAATTACGAAGAAATGGGAAGTAGAACTCAGGTCAAATGCTCGAATCGTGGACACACGCTATAATTAATATTAAAAATTGTAAATCGCGCGTGATATTGGGGAAAGTCTCTGCTGTCTCCAATATACTTCTATTACGTATTATATGTACGACTGTGCAGCGGGATAGACTTAGCACTGCTTAGCACGAATACATTAAAAGTCCAGATAATACGTCAGCAGACTCATGGTGGCACAACCGCTTCACACATTTCTCATATCTTTCTACAAGCCAGTCGTAACATCCAAAAAGCGAAGAGTATAATTCTGATTGGCTTATAGAAACGACTTACGGCACATGTTTACTGTCCTATTTTAGAAAGGGTTTCATTGGGTTCGATACCTTGTATGTACTTCTTTAAAGATGGCCGCGTTTACAAGCTTCTCACGGCTTTTTGCCACTGCGGCCGTTAATTCTCTGAGAAATGTTCCCCGAAATATCTTATTTTCCAAGCAGATCACTCCAGGTTTGTAATGTCTGTCATAAAACTTATGAGTCTCGGTTCTTATGTTGACATTTCATTTAAAGCGAAAGCATATTTTTCTTGTATTACCTAACCTCATTTAGGACTTTCTTGATCATTCAGCAATTGCAATAACCGGCTCGCAAGTAGCCGGTTATCGTACGCGACTTCCATGGATAGAAAAAGTACCAAACTATCAAGTGGAGGTACCTGACACTACCGAAGAGGACTTGAAATTGACTGATGGTTAATTCAGGACTTTGTATGTATTGCTGTTCATGAATCGTAGTACATTAAACACACTGTTTTCAGATGTGATGAAGCAAATAAATCAACAAATATCCACAAATAACATAGGACGACTTTTTGCTGTTGTACATGTTTGTGGTAAACAGTTCAAAATCACAGAAAATGATATTATTATCATCCAAGGCTATTGGCCTCCAACAGTGGGTGACAAGCTAAAGCTGGAAAAAGTTTTACTTGTTGGTGGCTCCGATTTCACCCTAATAGGAAGGCCACTTGTGAACAGAGAATTAGTGTCTATTATTGCTACTGTTATAGAAAAAACTACGTCACATACTAAAACCCATTTTCGCTTCAAAAAAAGGAAACAATACCGCCGTATAAACTGTAAGCATTTATAAATAGTATAATCAATATTATTGATTGGTTATTGAACATATGGTTTTTTTGGTTTCAGTTTGCAGAATACAACACACAATGCTAAGAATTAATTCCATCCAAGTAGAACCTAATGTTGGTCATCTTAAGGAAGTAGAAGGATTACATAGCATATATTGAATAAATTATCAGAAGTAACGACTGAGAAGGTTCTAAATAAATACAATTTTATATACATCTCAATAGATCGTGAAGTTCATATCGTATATTACACATTCTCAACAATGACAAATATAACATTAATAAATACTTAAAGTTACATAACAGTTTGGCCAACTCTCAGAGTAACCTTTACTCCTTATTTCTTTCAAACCTTTCAGATTCCTCTTGATAAAATAAACATATACATCTGTGACAGATAATAACAATCTATTATATCACACTGCTGTGCTTTAGAGCTAGCAATTATCTTTAAAAAATGCATAATCTGATTGTAATTATAATTCATTAACCAGTAACTTCATTAAATTCTACGAATGAATTCACCAATGTTAACTGGAGTCCATAGTGATATTTCCATGATTAGTAGCCTTACTGGAGTCATCGTACACTTGGACTAGTTGTACAGTGTTACCTACTTTAACAGCCTTAAAGGTATCACCAGGAGATAACACTTGTGCAGGAATTCCAGTAAGAATAGAAAAACTAGCATTGCCAATGTTAGGACTCTCAAAAATAACCGTTGGCAATGGTGATGGTGTTATCACAGTCGACGTCGGTGTCGACACTGTTGTCACTGAAATTCTTAAATCACTTGGTTTAATAGGCACTAACTTCTTGGCATCAAAATTTGCCAAATTCACTAATTTTAAAGAGTTCACGTTAGATCGTACATTGTACGGTCTTCTTTTCACGATTTTCTTGATATTTGACGTGGTCGTTGAAACGTCTGTCACTGGAGACTTGTAGGATACATTTGTTGCGTCTTTTACCTGTGAAACAATATTGTAATCCAGAATCTTCAGCATTGCAGGTTTTGTTTTCGATCCTTCAGCTTCTCTTTGCGGATGTATTGTACGCACTTGAGAAGAGTCTGGTCTAGGTGATATCTCAACATTTGCAGCACTTTTCATTGTTTCCGTTGTGACAATATAGTGTTGATTGTTTTCATGTAAATTCTCTTTGCTTGATAGTAATACCAGAGCGGTAGAATTTGACTGAACCTTTGAACCAGACTGGTCATACAGCAGAGAGTTCAAACTGGATGTGGAACCATTTGAATAGTTCTGTATGTTGGGAATGATTTGTGTGGCAGATATACAGGAATCCGAATTGTGCCTAGGAAAGAGTTTTGTACAGACCTTTGGCTTTGTCCTCTCGGATGATCTCAATTTTTTTAGTTCCATTTCAGCGACTCTTAGAATTGAATCATTGAGACGTTCCGAGGAACGTCCATTGGTGTCTAAACATGGAGAACTTTTAGTTCTCATAAAAGATTCATCTGAAAAAGTGATTGATACTTAACTTATTAAGTAATTTGGTACTTGTAGATAATTTTTTAATAATATACCTGGTCCAAATAACTTTCTCTTCCTAGGTTCTCTTCTATCGTATACTGGTGTACTACCGTTGTAGCTGCTGTTGTTGCTGCTTGAGGAAAATCTATTACGCGTCTGTAATTTACTACCTTCTGAAAGGCGTTTTGGAAGTGACATCTTAGTAACACTTCTTACAGGTGTCAGGGTACCTAAAAGGGAGAGTGCCTTTCCTTCGTTTTTGGGAGTTTCTATAACGAGAAATGCAAATCAATTAGAGTATATCTATGTTGTGATTATCTGTCAGGACTTGGAGTATAAAAAAAAACCGTTTTTTTAATTACCTGCATCAAAATCCACGTAGTCGACGTTAGGCCCAGTATAAATAAATACCGGTTTCTTTATTGTGTTATCCCGTGTACTAACTTTTTCTATCAATCCAATTGCTGTCAATACGTTTGCTATGTCGTACAGTCGACGAACTTTTGTTTTGAAACGAGATCTCAAACTTGTGTCTCCCGCTTCCGGCGTACGATCTGAATCTGATATAAGAACCTTAGCGGCTATATCCAGATTGATGACACCATTCTGTGGAACAGACAAAATTGATGTTTGCATGAATGATCGTAAGGTAATTACAATAGTCATGTAATTTGTCTTGTTACTTACTTTTAGAGATACAAGAAAAAGCATAACAAACTTCTGACACATCAATCCCAAGCTCTTGTCTTCTTTTATAATATCAGATGAAGAACCTTGTAACGGTGGTGTTGCTAATAAAGAAGACAATGAATCTTCATCGAATTGTCCATCATATGCTCCATGATTTTTTTGTATTTCACGTATTTGTTCTCTAAGACCAAGTCTAATGGCTGTTGCTTTCAGCTTAACAAGAGTACCAGATAAACCATTTTGCCCGTGCCAGCGGTATCGATTCTTTCCAACTTTGGAGGCCATCTCAAGACTTTCTAGTATATTTATAATATCATATATTCTACGTTTTTCAGTACCAAGTGCCTTGGCAGTACAGTCTAAGGAAATTTCTTCTGGAACATCATTGGCCTTATTTAAAGGATAGAGACTTAAAAATCTAAAAAAAATAAGAATAAAAGACAACTTGAATAGATACTAAAGTAAGTATTAAGATAATACAACTTACTTATTACACAAAAGTCCAAGAGACTTTTCTTTCCTAGGCAACAGTTTCAAGGGATCAGAATCTGATATCTCATGGAATAACTCCAAATTACTACGTGGACTTTTATTGCTATTACTCCAATCAGCAGCACTCTTCAAGTTGGATGCTAACGTTGTCAGCAATCGTAAGTTTGCAGTAGGAGAAATTGGCGTTGCAATGGCATTCCCAAGATCACAAATTACTTTGCGATCAGGTTCAGGGGAGCTGCGTATCGTCGTATGTCCTGACTCCGACATTTCTATGGAAAAAGAATAGCCTGTCTTGAAAAGAAAAATATTTAAATAAATTAGGATACCTTAAATATTCATACCTTGGAATTTAATTAATGCTAAAATCCCGTCATTCAATTTCCTTCCTTGATCTTCTCATAAATTGCAACCAGTTATCCAGGAACCCCAAGGAACCCGCACAGGAACCTGTGCTGGAGAACCCAGTAGATTGCACCGCGCTGTGAAATCCGTTTCCCCGTTTCTTCTTTTGGCGCGCGCGATTGCTGGGTTAATTTATTGCGTCAGATTTCGTATTAAGCCACTTAATCAATGCTTCTTCTCAACGTCAAACATTAATCCGTTGTATTATTATATTCTATTATAAAAATATGCAGATCGAGAAAGTTACCGAAGATACAAACAGTATTATTTCTGTTTAAGATGATTCTGAATCCTATTGGGTGCATAAGAGTGCCATTCCATGCTTGGAAAACAATAGGAATACACGGAATCGGAATAGCCGAGTGAAGGGGTCTAGCAGGATCTAGCTAGGTCAAGCTAGGTGACCAATTGCCATCGTTCTAGAATTGCTAACATCTATTATCTATTTTATTTATACATCTGTTTCAAGAAAAATAAATATAAGTAATGCTCTGTTTTTATTTCTAATAATGTATTTACCTTAATACAAGTATAATATTTAATGTACGATGAAACAAATATTGTTCATTCTGCTTCTGGTAAGTTTTGGGCTAATGTCGTTCTACAGTTATGATTTTATTCGTGATGTTTCTAAGTTTGTCAGATTTACGTAAAAATTCTGATTTTTAACATTTTCAATCACTTATTGTTGCTTTAAGTATATTCGCATATTATTAATCTAATCGGCTGAGAATGTTGTATGTGTTAGAAATTATCTTATTGTCAATTAAGGAATTCTGATATCATAGAATTATATGTGAATATATTGATTGTATTAGATCATATCCAAGGAATATTTATGTCTGCCTAGTTTCAGGTTTACTTTTCATTTCACAGATACAGGTGTCCAAGATTGTAACAAAGAGTGAACAATTACTACATTATGTTAGTGACGATGTCCCAGGTGGTTCTTATAAATATTATAGTCTAATGTATGACGGTCTTGTCAAGATATCTTTGACATCCCAGTGAGTTTATTAATCTATATTGATCAAAGATTCTATTTGTTAAGCAATTGTTATAAATTTTGTACAAATAATTTTTAATCCTTCAGAACTGGTGATGCAGATTTGTATGTATCACAGTCAACAACCAAACCAACTTATGAACCTGAACATTATTGTTTGCAGTCTACAACTTGTGGGGAAGATATAATTTATATACCGCAGGGGTAATTGTCTCTTGAACTTCAACACTTGTAGTATGTGAATAATATAAAGTATTGATATTTCTATGTCATCTAGTAGATTTAAAAGACCTGTGGGTATCGGTGTTTATGGACATCCATCTCATGAATTAAGCAAATATACACTTTTAGTATATAGAGTGGTCACATTGAGGGATGCTGAAATTGATGAACAAAATCTCAGTAGTAATTTTGATACAGAACGTGAGTCTAAGGTATATTTATAATTCAGTTTTATTATATAAAAATAAATTAATTAGGATATAAACTGTTTGTAAAAGGAGCAATATTCTGTCATACTTACAAAATTTTAATATTATAGAAAGAAACTTCATCAATAGTTGCTACCTGGCTTTGGTCATTTCTGGATTTGTTGTTTCAAGCAATATTTTTGTGACATAAGAAACATTTTTTTCCAATCCAATCATGTTAGAATATGAGAATCAAATGTTTCTGGAGGTTCTCCAAGAAGACGGTTTAGTTATTGCAGCCAAGTAAGCTGACAGCTATGATCGCAATGAAAAATATTGAAATACTTGTCTTAAAAGTTATATCTTACAGGGGTTTGGGTTTGGATACTGTGTTCATGAATATAATGAAAGTATATTCAGATCCAGGCAATCTAGTTATAGTTCTAGGCACCACAGATTACGATGAACAATATTTCATAGAAAAACTTCGATCTGTTGGTTTAAAATTTTTACCACGCATTATCACTGCACAGTTTCCATCTAATGAACGGTAAGTAGTAAAAGTTTTGCTTAAAGCGTAAACACCATTTTCATTGAGAATATCGATTCTAGGGAATTAATGTATTTGGAGGGAGGTGTTTTGTTTGTATCTGGTAGAATTTTGGTTGTTGATTTATTGAAAAAGCGATTACCGATTCATCTGGTTACTGGGATGTTAGTATACAGAGCTCATACCATACTAAACGCATGTCAAGAGGCATTTGCACTTCGTCTTTACAGACAAAATAATAAGGTAAAGAATATTTCTATATATTTTTCTTTACTCTTAGAAATCCCAACTTGTTTGGTATAATTTCATACAAATTTATTGTAGACTGGATTTATCAAAGCGTTTACAAACTCAGCACTGGCTTTTACTATTGGATTTGCTCAGGTTGAACGAGTCATGAAAACGTTGTTTGTCAAAAATTTATATTTGTGGCCTCGATTTCATGTCACAGTAAGCAGTAGTTTATCGAAACATAAGGTAATTAAGCAAATATTATGAAACCTATTGATTTTTATTCATATCTTATTCACTTAATCATGTTTACTTCATTTAAGATTGTTGTTACTGAGTTGCACGTGAAACTTACACCTAAAATGTTGAAAATTCAGTCATCATTGTTAGATATTATGAATTATATTGTCAAGGAATTGAAGAATACAAACAAATATGTATGTAATATATTTTCCAACATCTGTGTATATATATATACAATATAGAAATAATTAACAATATAAACATCATGATTAATTTATTTAGCTCGACTTGGATGAAATCACAACTGAAAATGCAATGGCTAAAAAATTTCACAAGCAGCTGCAGCTTCAACTGGATCCCATTTGGCATCAACTCAGTTTTCGAACAAAACAATTAATTGCAGACCTTAAAACTTTACGTTCACTTCTAATGTAAGTGACTCTCTTTCAATATAATTTATCTAATTTTGCAGCGTTGCATTAAACAATATAATAACTTACAACGCAACTTTTATAGATGTTTAACTCACGAGGATTCAGTTTCATTCTATGAAAAGTTTTATCGATTGCGAACTACGGATTATGCAATGAATAGCAGCGGGTGGCTTCTCTTGGATACTGTTGAAAATCTTGTGGCCTATGCAAGGGACAGAGTGTATGATAATAAAAAAGGTAATATTCTTGCAACAATTTTCTTAAACGTATACAACATAAATTTCTTATACAGAATTGAAGCCAGAGCCATGTCCCAAGTGGAGTGCTTTATCCGAAATACTAAGAGAAATTCAAGATAATATCGTGAAACAGAAAACTGATGAAAAGGTTGATACAGTATTAATTCTCGTGCAAGATCGTAATACGTGTGATCAAGTGAAAAAATATTTGACTATGGGTGCTACAAAATATTTGAGTCTGAAAGCTGAAAAATTGCAGTCGCTGAATAAAACTAGCAAAGATAAGTAAGTCAGGATATATGTACATGATCTTGTAATTTTTTGACAATGTATAAAATATTATACGATCATTGATCTTTGAGTTGATTTTTCGGAAAATTGAAGGACCCTTTTTACAGTTTATCAAAAAATGATGGTATAGAATCGAAGGACACAGACAACGAAGAAGAGACCAAAGAGAGCTATGTACTTTCATTGTCACAAAAACCCTCAGGAACAAATCAATCTGATGTTGTGGAAGGTGAACCACTATGTCAAGATTATTTCGACGATTGTTCAGAGGTAATTTTTATTTCAAAATTGTTGCAAACAACCAATTACTGTACTGTGATACTGATACCTGGTACTCATGCAACGATAAAAAAATATTTTGTGTAACACTATTGTAGCTTGCTGATATCGATTTGACTGCTATTGGAACTCCTAATTTACCTATAGTCATTGTACAATCACTGAAAAAACATGGCGATCCAATGGCTTTGCAAAGAATACTTTCAGAAAAGGTGCCTCGTTACATTGTCATGTATGCTGCAGATATTTCAGCCGTGAGGCAACTCGAGGTACCAAGGAGGCTCACATTGTTATTCATTTTAATAATTTCTTCTACATTTTATTTGAATATCTATTACGTGTTTTGCAGGCATATCAGAACAACAATCCATCGATACAATTGAATGTGTATTTCTTGATCTATGGTGGATCTGTAGAAGAACAGGCATATCTTACATCTTTGCGTAGAGAAAAAGAAGCTTTCGATATGTTGATTAATACAAAAACAGTGAGTTTAATCCAGTCCATATTAACATAACGTAATTAACAATATAAATAATAAAGTTTTTATTTTGCAGACAATGGTAGTCCCTGCAGATCAAGATGGGAAATCCGACGAATGTTTAGCTCTTATAAGAGAATCAGGCAGTGCATTTGAAGATGCTGAAAATACACGAAAAGGGGGGATCCAAGGGGATAATACTAAAGTCGAAGAGAGAGTAATCGTTGATATGAGGGAATTTAGAAGCGAATTGCCAGCTCTCTTACATAAACGTGGGATAGAGATAGAGCCAGTGCAGCTTTTGGTACCTTTTCAATTTGATGATCAAAAACGTTTATGTACAACTTTCGAGAAGCATGTTCTTACCGATACATTAATTTCAGATTGGTGATTACATTTTATCACCGGAAATCTGTGTAGAACGGAAAAGCATCTCTGATCTGATTGGCTCCTTAAATTCAGGCAGATTGTACAATCAAGCAGTTGCTATGACTCGACACTATACCAAACCAATGTTACTTATAGAATTTGATCCAAACAAACCATTTTGTTTTCAGGTCAGTGTTATATTTGCTTTGTTTCAATGGAATAGTTCGTGCATTAATAATATAAAACAATTACATTACTATATATATCGTTACTACATTACTAGATATATCAAGAAATATTATACTGTTCCAGGGACACTACTACATTAGCAAAGATATGAAAAATACGGATATAACAGTAAAATTACAATTACTCACGTTACATTTTCCTAGACTGAAATTAGTCTGGTCGCCAAGTCCACATGCTACGGCGCAACTTTTTGAAGAACTGAAGGTAATTTGTGTAATGAAACCCGAAAAAGAACGAAACATTGTAGTTTTATTAAATTTTTTCCGAGGCTGAATGAAACCAAAGTTTTGAGATATAATTGATATATTATTTAATTATTTTGATTAGTCTATATTATTGACCACAGCAAGGACGCGAACAGCCAGATGGAAATAAAGCAGCACAAATTGGAATGGATGAAAACACCGAAGACAAAGAAATCATGGTAGAGAAATATAATTCTCATGTGCAGGATTTTCTCGCAAAATTACCCGGTGTTCATTCCAAGAATTTACGTGTAATATTGAATAAAGGCAAATCACTGGATCATCTTGTTAATTTGACTATGGTAATTTTTACAGACGACAAACATAGTGACAATCGATTGAATGTAACTAATTTTCATTATATTCAGGAGGAACTTACTGATATGTTGAGTAATACGAACGATGCTAAGCTGTTGTACAATGCGCTACATGATAAATTTCTACCAGTGAAGGATGCAGGCGTTCAGAACCCTCGAGAATCTTCCAAGCGAGGGAGAGGCATATTTCGAAAACGAAAGCAATAAAATTCTAATTTTAGTCCAATTTGTATATTTATCACTGTGTAATTAACGTGCATATTTGTTTAGTTTAAATTGTGAGCTGTATGTGCATGTTACAATCGGATTTAAAGTACTTAATAAGCTATATATCGTGATATATGTAATGTATATTCTTTGTGTTATAAATGATATATTTTGCAAATAAAAAATGACACAAAAATCATTTACGAATGAAGAAATTTTATTGAACATTAAATATTTCGAGATAATGAATTAACCGTATCATATTGAGAATACAAATGGTAGAAACGCAGTTATCCTACCTACAGAATAAGTCTTCGTACAAATTGTTGTATAATGGCGCATGTGGCGTGTTAAATGTTAAGAAAGCGTGAACGTCCAGACAGAGTCCGTGAATGTTTATCTATCAGCGCGAAATACGACTGATTAAATAATGAAGGTTACAAGTGATGGTAAATAATGCATTGAAAAATAATGATATTTTTGAAATTATGACTCGTCATCACTATTCGCACCACCAGCCCGCGGTTTAGGACCGCCTGCACGTTTCGCCATGATTATCTGATCTACTTTTAGAATCGTGCACGCAGCATTGACTGCATATTTCAAGGCCCAATTTTTCGTTAGATACAAATCAAGAATACCAGCCTCAACGGAATCAATAAGGGAAGCAGAGTCGCCCTGCAACAACATAATTGCATATAACAAATATTCTCAGTAAGTATAAAAGTGTAATCTTGCCAGAATAATGTCAGACTCGTCTAATACTTACATCAATGTCAAAACCGTAAGTTTTCTTGCCTTCTTTGTGTGCAGCGTACAGTTTCGATAGAAGTTCTGAAGCTCGACTTCCACTGTTCTCTGCTAGCGTTTTTGGGAACGTTTCGAGAGCCGATGCAAACTTGCGTACAGCATATTGCTCTAGGCCAGGTAGGGTGTCAGCATACGCAGCAATCTGTGCAGCCAATTCAACTTCGGTTGCTCCCGCACCTGCGACAAACCGCCCATCTCTAGTTATGCCCTTGAACGTGTTCACGCCGTCATCAATTGCTCTTTCAATGTCATCCATGTAATTTTCTGTTGAACCGCGGATGACAATAGTACTGATACGACTTTCATTTCCATCTAGCCTGAATACCACCACGCTAGTATCTCCAAGCTCGTCAATATGAACTGAGTCGGCATATCCAAGTTCCTCCTTGGTTGGTGGCATCTGTGAATAACGTCAGTCATAAGAAACTGGGAAATTTCGAGGGTGGACATTTAAAATAAGCTTACTTATTGTTAGACTATTACATTAAGATAACATTAAGAAGATCACTAACCAACTTGGACAGAGCGGTACCACCCACAGCCTTGCATAATCGCCGTATGTCGAATTTGCTGGGAATACGGACAGCCATCAGGTTGTATTTGTTCATGTAATGAAGAGCCATATCGCCGAATTTTCCACCGGAGACTACAACTGAGGCACCTGAGTCAGCAATTGATTTTATTTGTGATTCCAGCAAGGATTCTTCGCCACGGGAGAACTTCATGAGTTCATCCGCATTCTTGATCAAAACTGTGCCCTTAGTTTCAGTCTGCATTACATCCACGGCACACGTGTACACTGCGATCTTTGCACTTGTCTTCTTTGTCACGTCACCTTCGACTTGACGTTTGAACACCATACCCTGAACTACCTGCGAGGAGTTTAATCCTGCACCAAGAATCTTGCAGACGCGAACATTGTCTACATTGAATGTTGTCTTCTCTGGGAGAATGGAAACACAGGCTTGACTAATAAGTGAAGCTAGAAGGTCTTCGTTGCCATACTGTTTGCTCATTATCGACGTCTTGATTCCCTTCTTTACTTGCTCCAAATTACGATAATCTTTGATCTCGTAAACGATCAGTGTGGAAAGAACCTCTTGTGCCTTCTCCAAAGCAGATTCGTAGCCTTCCACAATTTCAGACGGGGTGATACCCTAAATAAAAAAAAAACCTTTGTTAAAGATACATATGATTTATACAGCATAATGAATGTTGTTGTTGTTAATAAATATCTTATACCAGACGCAAAAGTTCCTCTGCTGCTTCAAGTAAAGCGCCAGCAAATATGATGACAAAATTTGAACCATCTCCCACTTCTGCTTCCTGCATTTCTGCTGCAAGCACCATCAATTTGGCAGCTGGATGCTCTACTTCAAGCTCTTTAATAATTGTTGCTGCATCATTTGTCACAAACATCTTTTCTATGTGGTTGATGATCATTTTGTTCATTCCGTTCGGTCCATACGCTGTTCGGATAGTTTGCGCAAATTGTTTACATGCCGCAATATTTCTATATACAGCTTCCTCTAGTCCAGAAAGATACTGTTGAATAAAAAGATATATTTTTATTTAGCCAATATTTTACAAACATTGTTTAATAACAAAAATATTTAATGCCTGGCCTATGAACAAGAATTATTATTAAAAACCGGCAAAAATAATAGATATGTTACAATATATAAGCATGTAATTTATGTTTGTGTGGAAAATTTATACACGTGATCTTAAATTTATTTATTAATGCTACTCCATTCATGGCATGGCAAAGTATCAAGAAAATTATATACCAATCAAAAAGATAAATATATGACATCCTAACATGAACAATGTATCTTGTAAAACTATTGCATCGTATGACATTTTATCCAAAATTTTATCCATAAAAGGCGACGTCGCTACAGAATGTTCTCGGTGGCCGCCCCCACAAGAGATCAGTCATCCTTGCCGGTAATTGTTTAAGGCTCAAACACTTTTAACACGATGAGATACGAAAGTAAATGTCAAATAATACTCACGCGAGCTCCATCCTTTAACATTTGAGCCATACCAGGCGCTTTTGGTACGTGTAAAGCCATTTTTTTGAGAATTTCAGAAAATCACACCGTCACATGTACTACTGTTCGACAATCCGTAGTTACTTTCCCACGAGCAAGACGTTCACTCATATCAACATTCGAGATTCTCGAATCGAAAATCGATATTCCAACAATGAAAGGGATAATTTAACAAATTATTCGACATAAAACTTATTGTTTTTAAACGATTCAGTACGATAAATTCAATTCGTTAATTGATATATTCTCTGTATTAATAAATTTCTTTTGCCGACTTTAAAACAGTTATAGCATTTTGGGAAAAATTTGTTGTAGCGCTAAATCGATTTTCACAACAACCGGATGTCAGCTGTGTAATCGAAAAACTTAATTTGTATCGACCTTGCAGGAAAACGACAATCAGCCATTAATTGTTAGCGCTGTGAACCTAAAAACTTGCAGTTTACTTTGACTCAGTCAAATTTAAACTTATAAAGTAAATTCTAGAAGGATTTCGAACACTATATAAGAACTGTGAGCAGTCGGTGTACAGTGTATCCCACTGTATTGTTTGTGAGCGTCCCTAATTAAGGGTTGTGCTTCCTAGGCCATAAAGGCCGTTATTTCTTCTTTCAAGTGTTGTGACCACGCCCAAAAATAGGCCTCTCGGACACGGCTGTTATGGACATGGTGATCACAAATTTACAACAGCAACGTCAAGTGACTGAGCAGTTGCGCCGTGAGGCCGCGCTCAAAAGAATCACCGTCAGTAAAGCTGTCGAAGATATCATGAAGTACATAACGGAGCACGAACAGGAAGACTGCCTACTCGTTGGCTTCTCATCGCAGAAGTCAAATCCTTTCCGGGAGAAGAGTTCCTGTAGCATTCTCTAAGGTCATCATGCATCTCTACGTCAAGAAAATAATTTAACGATGTTCTATTATCTATATTTCTCATTCAAACTGTTCCTATCGTATTTGTATACAACAGAGATTTTGCAGAATGGCGTTTTCTTATGACTCCTAAAGTTTTTCCAATTTTCTGTATTTATATTTATACTTGTATAAGTTTGTCATCATTGACTGACCAAATGTAAGGACAGAGTTCCTCTTTTTTAAAATATGCCATTGCTAACATCAAGAATCTCTGCCATTGATATTTAATAACTATGGCCTATGACATTGAATTTAATAGAATTGGATCTGAACGATACATATTACTTTACAGCTTCATGTAAAATGTAAAAGCACTAATTGAAAATCCATTTATCGTGCAGATATTAGCCTAGCAGTTTCTATAATTCATTATGCAGGACTTTGATCACTTGTAATACAATGATTGTTTGATAAATGTTGTAAAGTCTAGTGTTCTACAAAATTCTGGTTTTGTCGTTTAACAAAGTTCACTTTTTAATTAGTCGATACTGCTACTCCATTGTTTTTGATTACACATAACATTATTGAAAAACATGTTGATATGAAAGTGACTATATGTAATGTGTAACAGGAATCATGTCACAAGTGACACAATTCATTGGTATAGAAAAAATTTAAACTATCTTCATCAATGCCAAAATAGCAGTATATCTTAAACTACTCTATATTTTTATAGAACATATACAAGACCACATTTAATTACTATTTACACATCTTGTAAGTAAAACTCATCTAATACAAAGCAAGTTAAAGCAAGTGAACAACTTAAATCTGCTACAAGCACTGCTTTTGCACGATTATGTCCATCAGTCATATCACTTTCAGAAAAAACACAAGCAGCTTTGAAATCTGACGAAACCAGTGCAAAGCTGATGCATCCGCGTTTACAAACCCATTAGTTTTCTGTGCGATGTATTCTGATTCTATTGTGTAATTATCTATGAAGGACAATTAACATAATTTTATATCATGATTGTGTCACAGATGATCAGACTATTTTCAATTTTTTTTTACAATAGTATAAAAGAGATATCATTGAAGCACACTGCATATTTTATACCTATTTCTGTATAGATGATTTACAATATAAAAATTACATGTTTAAGACAATATGTACAATATGTATGGTTCTAATTTGTGCCAATAAATTTGTGCGTAAAAAGATTAGGTATACTCAACTCACTCAACTCACTTTATTCAACACTTTGAAAAATTATACATGAAAACAAAAAAAATTAAGAAGTAATCGTGACCACAATAGCTACTGGAACAATCCTGGTTTCTGAGATAATAAAATCACAGTCTAATTATTATTAACATTTCATTTATATATCATTATTGTACTGTGCATCACTCTGAATATCAGAGTATTCAAGTTTAATCGCCTATTAGGAAAATAAACTGTCTCTACATATGACAGTTGCAGTTTACATTATGAAACCTGAGACATATTTATCACCACAATTAAATCATTTCCAGTCACAAAAAAATACGTTCGTTCTGATATTATAGTATGACGAAATTTTGGTTCCCTTTATAATAAGGCACTAAAGTGAGGAAAACCAATGAATAAATTTATCCTAATTTTGCAAATAGTGCAGTTCTGAAATGGAAATTTCATGTGATTATCTACAATATTATTTTGCATTTAACACAACGTGAATTATATGAAAACACAAAATAGACAAGTTAAAACTCTCTAATCTGTTAACGAACTTATATTATTATCAAAGATATCACAATATCATTATATTCCTCATTGTCTGCCAATTTACTGTTATCAGAAGTTCAAACTATTTCCGTCTTCTATTATCTTTCGTAGATAAACTCCTTGTTGTTCTAGATCCCTTTGAGATTTCATTCGACGATACAGTACAGGACAATCCAAAGAAGCACAATCCGCATTATCAGATCGTTTAACACAAGACTGACATATCTGCAATAATTACTTTGATCAGAAGCAATTCTCAATAATTTGTATACAATGAAAATTTTAATCACTTACTTTAATAAAATTATAGTAGCCTCGTTCTAGCTGTCTCAATTTTTCCTGTAGAATAACTAAAACTCGTTCAGGATACACAGCACAGTCATGACAAATTTTATTCTTTGAAAACTGTCCACAAACAGCACAAGCTGCTGTACCAAAATATTGAGAAATTGTTGTTTTCTGTTTATCTCCTGATTCTATGGTATAACGAGCGACAATTTGATGATGTGGCATTTCATTGAACCTAACAAATAAGTAAATAAGCGACTTGAGCAATGCAATAAAATAGAAATAAAACTACGCTCAACTTACCATGCGTTTATATCAACACCGAAGAGGTTAAAACATCGATTCAAGGGTGGTATAATAACTCTTGTGATGTAATAAATAGCATTTGGTCGCAATCCCGGGTCTGATATTAATTCCCAAGGACTTCTTACACAATGGATCAAAGCTTCATTTGGTGCACCAGCAACTATAATGTAACGTACTCGTTCACTGACCCTTGGTACAGCACGAGGATCTTTCTGAATAAGTCTTCGTGTAAGTTCAAGAGCTGGTACACAAGCTGATGCTTTGTATCCTTGAATTCCACGGAATTCGCGTGCAAAAGTTAAATCCTCAATAGATACTCGACCTTGTAGAATTTTTGTAAGCTGTCTGGTAACGTACTGCTTAACCAAAGACACATCTATTGTATCAAAAAGAATTCTTAAGGATTTTTCAAGGATCTGTAATATTGAAGAGTAAGCATATTAGATAATTACCTTGAAGCAAGTTTTATATATGTTGTATTTGGTATTGTACCTTTGAAACTGCTGGACAACCATCTCTGCGCACAGTCTCAATGCCCTTGGCTAAATATTCTGGTTTCTCTTGATCTGGACTTTCATACATATACCCGCAATATCGCTTCTTCGTCTACGTTCACATAATTACTTTACATTTTGTCCATAATATTAAGGATCGGGTAAAGAAAGACTAGAAAACTCACTTGTAAAATAGCTGGATGCAAGACTTTCTCAAACTTTAACTTGACAGGACGTGGATTAGCTGCAGTAACAGTATCAGCGATTTCAGCACCAACTTTAAATGCCTCAGCCTTCGACTTTCCTGGCAACAACACAAACAACGAATCTGTGTCACCATAAATAACACGAGCTCCCCATTCAGGTTTGGACTCTACAATTTTTATTGCCCGTTCTAACGTTTCTCTACCTTTACTCACAACACTGTCACCAATCTGAAATAAATCAGTAATAAATTAAACAACTATACAACTGATTGACTGTTACAATTTACAATCACACAAGTACTAACTTCGATACACGGCATTCTGCCACTGAAATTGGCAGCTGTATATCCATAAGTAACATTGGCAATAAGCTTGAGACCAAGTTGTCGCGAATGAAGAGCACGTTGCAGTGTGCGATCCTTTTGTGAATGATCTTTCATCGCTTTTTTCACCATCAACCGAGTGTCTAAGATTTCGCTTAACATCCTAGGAAGGATTCCTCTTCTTACCTCAGGCTTTACAAAGGCGACACCACAAGGTGCAAAATTAATATTATCACCTAATTTCAATATCGTGTCTTTAGTTACTTTGAGGGTCGTTGCACCAAATTCAAAGGGTTCTGACCTATACAGAAAACATGATTGTGATTCTATAATACATTAACTACGCAAGTAAAGGTGATACTTACTGTCCAATATGTTCGATTCGTCCCAAACATGTTGAAAAGCAATAGTTATATGCTATGATGATACTCGGATACAGACTTTGAAAGTCAAGGACTATCACTGGATCGCTGTAAAATTGTGACTCTGGTTCCATTATCAATGGTAGGGATTCCGGGGCCCTCATGTGAGCCCTTTGATTAGTACTTGGTGAAACTGGTACATAGTTGAGAGGTTTTGCTAGTCTTAGCATCATGGATTCCACACGAAATTGAGATCCTCTAGAGAAAACCTCATAAAATTGAATACCAAAGAGCCGTGCCAGTTCACCAGTTCTTCCTATAGATGATAATTTTTAAAAAAAGTGAGATAATATAAAGCTCCAGTTATTTAAATTTATTTTTTTTTTAATAAATGTGCTTCGAATTTACCAATCAGATCCAACTGATCCAGAATTTTGAATACTCCAAGAACTCGAGTAATGTAATGATCAACGACTTTCCACCTTGTTCTTGGATTTCGCTCACTCCACCAGGTAGTCAAAGTTTCAAAGGATGGGCAAGGATGACGTTCCTTCATTACGTGAAACATTACACTTTCAAAAGTGTAACTCAACAATGCTATGTTATTCGATTTAAGATTGAGACTTAGTACATTGTTGTGAAGAATTGTATTCCTATATTTAAGTTATCTTTAATGAGCTCTAATTGGATTTACCTGCTTCGTGCCTCATCAACCGCCAGGCATTGAGAATAATACGGCCAGAAAGTTTAACTCCAGCTAAAGCATCTAAATCTGGTGTCTGATTATCTGTATTAGCATTGTGATGAAAATTGGGAATACGTGAGATGCGTGCTGCTAAATTTAAACCTAGATAATTGGCCCTTTGGAAGACGTATCCCCAAGACAAGCATTCTATTTCCCAACCGATGAAGATGTCTGGATCGGTGCGACCAATCAGAAGAAGAAGTGCATTTAATAACTCTTTCTCGTTAGAGACGTAACTGGTTTCACAATTCGTATGGGAACCCAACAAATAGCTCGAGTTATTCTTAAAATTTTTAGCGGCCGGGCTAATAATTATATCACCTAGAATAATACATTCGTTTTTAAAAATGTTCAGAATTATTACTCCTGAATCCGTAATATATATTCGCCAACCATATTCTAACGGTTTCATCTTGGATGTTGTCGGCACATCGTTCTGGATAGCATAAAAGATTGCGCTTATTGAATCATGCTGAGGATCCGGCAATAAACTTCCACGTGTGCACACATGAACCTCCAAACACAATATCGTCAAGTATTGATGCTATTAACGAATAATAAGTAATATAATGTCACAAAATTATATTGAAGCGTATGACTTTGAAATACTTACTGTAACAATAGCTTTGACGTTTTGCAGATTCTCGTTTGCCACGTCTCTATCGCTACTGACATGACTCACACCTTCTATTTGTCCACACGAAATGCCCAAACGCCTCGACAGTTCACTTTTGTTGTATAAACTTAATTTTGGATTTGTACTATTTGTTAATTTGTCCGATGTGATGTCCCTGATAGAAACATTTTCCTGCACTGCATCATCCCTCAAAGACCATTGTTGCGATTTTACCCCTGTATCGTTTGCTCTATCAACTTCTACAGCAGATAATGAATCTTTGTATTGTTGACAACTTTTAGTTGTTTCATGAACAGGTAAAACCAAGTTGGAGATATTCGACATGGAGCATTCATTCTTCTCTTCAACAGTTATCGAGTCATTTTGTTTATTTTGTCGTTGTTCTTGTTCAATTTGTTGTTGGTGATCCGTTGTTTCCTTATTACTTTTCATTTTAGATTTTCGTGCTTCTAACCAGGCTCTAACGTTTTTTGGTGAAGGCGATTTGAACAATGGTTCTATATCCATAAATTCATGCCCAGCCAAGGCTTGAGTGATATTTGATCTCAATTTTGAACCGGATGGATGAAATTCATCCACTTTCATGCGACGCCACTTTCTTATACCAGTGACATTCTCCAAGAAGGATTTCCAGTTGGGTAATTCCGACATACCGGAAATTCGTGATTGAAAAATAGCTTTTTGTGCAGGAATATCAGATACGTTGCTATAAAATGGTGTTTTGTTTCTGTATTTTGGAATTCCATAAGATTCCATGCTTTCTATTACACTCGCTCGACTGGGAGGATCAATCTCTGGTAATATATCTATTTCCTTGCTACCATTTTCTTCATTATATGTTTTAAGATCTTGAGATGACTGACGAATCTCGTTTAGACGCGCATCCACGTACTGCGTAAACGTAACATTATGTACATCCTCCTCGTCAGTCAATTGATCTGCAGTCTCATCAATAACTCCTATTACAGAATTATCGAGGTTTGACATTTCTAATAATCTCTGCTCCGTAGTAACTTCGTTTTCTTCGTTATCGGAGTATTCTTCTTGTAAAATATTAAAATTCTGTTTTTCATTAGTGACCTTAAATAGTTTTGTACCAGAAATCGTAACTTCTTTCTCTTTTATTGTTTGAAGTTGTCCGTCTCCTCTTTCCGATTGTATTACGAAGTCAAGCCTTTTACGAACTTCAGTACCACTTCGAGTTGTAGTTTTGTTGTTCGCATCAGTAACTTTACTTGTACTTGCACAAGTACCCGTATTGTCTTGCAGTCCTTGTATCCACGTTCCTTGGTCTAGGTGAAATTATGAGCAAATAAATTGTTTTCTTTGTGAAAATATAGAAAGCAGCTTTGATTTATTCAATGAATCGAAATACAGAAAATTTGTATACAAAAGGAAAAGAGAAATAAAAGAAATGCTTTTAAAAAATGATCAATACAATGTGGGTATGTTCAGAAAATTCACATCTCGACACACTCACCCATTGAATTACTTCCCTTAGAAACTTTTGCCGAACTGCTGCCCTCACCTGAAATTGAAGAAATGGCTGTGTTAAATATCAAAAATTCCTTTAGCTCAATGCCAATTTGAAAAGTATTTAAATGTGTGCAACTTACAATGTTCATTTATAGGTGATAAAACGCTGTTTTCACGTAACGGACTACGACGCCGCGTGCGTCTCATTCTCTTGGGTGTAACGCATCCCGATTGCGAACAAGAACCCATATCAGAATTGGTATCAACCCCTCGACGATCACTACATTCGGCAGGTTCTTTTCTAGTAGAAGATACCTTGGGAGACGTGATAACAATATTTAGCGGTGAATAAGTTCGCGATATACGTCCAGGACTCTGTAACGTACTTGTTCTCAATGGAGACTGTAACGGAGTTTTTGGTGATAGTCCAGCTGTTCCCACGTTAATGCGTTTACGTGGAGATTCGTTGTCAGAATTGTAACTATGTTGTTTTCTTTTGCTACTCGGTGTAGCAATAGTCTTCACATTTTCCTGTGCGGATTTCCTGGACGATTTGTATATGCAGATACGCTTTTCCTCCCGCTCCACTGTTACATCAGGATCTATGGGCTCTGATTCGTCTGAACTTGTGTCCCCAGCACCGTCAAATGCAGGAATAGAAGATTTTGTCTTATATTGCCGTCTAATTAGTCTTGTGCGCTTAGCTTTCTTAGGAATTATTATACTTTGTTGTTGAAGCCATACCCTGGGCTCTTGCAGTTGTATGCATGTTGTTTGTCTTGTTGGTAGCCAATCAACTCTTTTCATGTGAACGTCACAGAGACCTATTTTGTACATGAAACGTTGTTTTAATGGGAGATTACTAATATTCACACGCATTTCATTATAACTTGTTGTTGCTACTAGCAGCTTAGAGTCTGCAAACAGTGTTTGCACTTTATTCCTCTGTTTTGCGATGTCTCTATGCGCTAATAGTTGTGGATCGGGATCTAATTTTCTAGCGATACTCAGTTTTTCCGTTATAGGCATGTTCAGATAATTAATACATGAATTATGTGTCGATTTATTTTTTTTCGAACGCCGAGAATGTAGCGCGTCAATCATTTTCATTGCTTTCTTGGATAGATGATTAATATCATGTTTTTGTGAAAGTACATCTTTCTTCTCTGTATGTTTAAACTTAATAATTTCTTCAGGGCGTGATACACTTTTATCTTTACTCGATGGTTTAAGGTACATTTTCAATTTATTTAAATCAATTCTCTCAAGATTGATGGAAACCTTTCTATGGTATACAGGTATTTCTTTTATCATTAAACTTTTTTCTTCATTAGTTTTATTTTCTGTGAAACTTAATCTGTTTGTTTTGATTTCTGATTCTATTTTCTCACTTTCAGCACATACATCAGAGATCCCTTTCATTCTACCGCTTGAATTGAATGAGGAATCAATCTCATTAACAATTATTGAGTTAATTAACAACCCCCTGGTATCCAGTACATCATTTAATAGATTTTCATTTTGTGATGTTTCAGCGTCTTCTTCGGCGACTGTGTCACTTGTCTCACTACTTCCATTCAAATCGTCCTCGTCGTAGACATCCAATCCCTGATGGTAGATCGTAGTAGAACAATCCTCTTTGTTACACGACTCGGCATGTGCAACTATGTTTTGTGATGTCGCAATATTTTCTCTTTCTTCTTTAGATTGTGGAGCAAAGTCTTCCTCGAAAAGACATTCTGGCACCTGCGAAGTTACAACGTCCACATCGTATTCTCTGTTGGGAGAAAAACAAATGTCAGTGTTTCTGACAAAATGCTCATAAATTTCAGTATCTTCCAACGTTTTGTTGGCAGGTGAAGGTATATCTTCCATCGGTCTCCTTCTTTCAAGTATTGGTGTTGATAAAGTCTCGTTGTTGCTCTCAATAACATTTGCTATTATAGTCAATTCATCAATTTCGTTTGAAAGGGTGTACGCCTCACTGTCAATGTTGACTTGGCAGTCATCACTGGCCACAGTTTTCGTAGAGGACAATGACACAATAACTGGCTCTCTCCTTCGCTGTCTCGACATCTTTTTCCTAGTAATCCTGTCACAAAATATATTTTGGCATTGTCTAACATTGCCTTGACGAAGCACACTTTTTGTAGAATTATCAATTTTATTAATAATTTTGTTACGAAGGAGAATTTTTAATCGAGTTCGCGAATCCATAGAATTAGTTACTTCCTGAACTGCAAAGTTACCTGTTTTTGATACATTTTCATCAACACTTTGGGGTTGTTCACCAGTTTTGATTTTGACAGGACTCAATACATCTGGACAAGCGTTAATACTGATTTTCCCAGAAGACCTTCTTCTCCGTTGTTTTTTGTTCCCTTGCGCATTCGAATTGTCCAACACAATTAGATTTTCATTGTTTGCGTGACAAGAGTTACACAAATTACTCTCTTTCTTACAGTCCAACGATTTGTTAATAGTTGTTTCTACGTCACAGTTGTTGTTAACATTTGAACTTGTACTTTGAGCGTGAATATCCTTTCGTGCAATCAATCTTTCTTTTTTACATTTCACAACTGGTTGTACATCGCTCCGAACTGACATGCATTTCCTTGTCTTAATATGCTTGAGACTCTTCTTCTTAGCCATCTTCAAGTTTAACTGATTTTCTACTTCTTTTGGCGACTCGAATGTTGTCTTACTAGCACAGTCGTTACCAGTATCAACAAAATTTAAAGTTTTAATACCACTGGCTGCATCCAAATCAATTTTTTTTAGTCGTATTACAGGAATTGGACATTGACGTTCGGTGCAAAGTATACTGTCTGATTTTTGCCGCTGTCCACGTCTTCTTTTCTCAATTACCCAAATTTGATTAGTAGAGGAACATTGTTTCAAGTGAATCTTCTTTTTGGAATATTTAACGTGTCTATGACCAACAACTCCCTGTAGATCACTGCTATGAGAGCGATACGACGAATAGTGAGAATACAGAGAAGCATCTACAGGAACATTGCTCATGCTATTTTCTTCGTCAATGGGTTTACTGTTTCTCGACCTTCTTGTACATTTGGAGCCATTTGATTTTATAACAGATTCTAGGTTGGTCTTACAAACAATTTTCTTTCTATTCAATCTATCATGAACTTCATTGCATTTTAGATTAATGCATTTCTTAGAATTTTTATATAGCCGTTTCGGTCTGGTACTCCTTATAACATTAGTATCACATTCAATGATTTCCTCGCCTTTCTGAATAGCTGAGATGCTGTCGCGATTAGAAGCGTGAGACGGATTCTCAGGTTGACCTACCTCACTTCCGAACTGTCCAGTTATTCTTTGGCTTACTTGACAATTGACTGACTCCTGTGAATTTTCAATGGAGCACTTTTTTAATGGTTCGTCCGTACATTGATGGTCTTCAAGTTCTTCCCAAGTAGCTATAACGTTGCAATTATAATCAAAATCATCCGGCGACATCTCTACGTGCTCCGTTGTCTTTTCATTCAACTTGGTAACGACGTCAAGACTTCTGTTATTATCACAGTCTTGTGTCTTAGGTATCACTGAAGAGTCAGTATTAATATCAGTCAAACTGTCAAAGCATGGAGATGTAGGTGCATCTAACTTCTTGCCAATTTCCGGTACTAGAGGCACTGCAGGATCTTCTATGATTGTCAAATTTATAGAATCAACATTTTTTAGATCCTTGAAAGCGTGTGGTAATAGAGAACTATCTAGCAAACTAGCGTATTGATCTTGCAGTTCCGTCAGATCTGATTTATCAAAGACAGCGCTCTCAGTGAAACATGGATCACCATTCAGCACTGTTTTTGTAGAGATACATTCATCCATGATGTTTTGTTTGTTCATATCTGATCCTTCGTTACTATTAAAGGATAGCATTTTTATTTCACTAATTGATTGGCAATTATCAAGATCAAGATCCAGATCTGATTCGACTTGTGATAGATGTTCAAAGAGTTCATTCAAAACTCCGTAAGGACAATCAGAACTCAATATATCGGATTCAACATTTGTTTCTGTACAAACAACGTAAGTAGAGCCTTTTGAACTTTCAAGTTGTGTGCTCGAATTATTTTCTTGGATATTCATAATCCCCTTTGGCGACAGTGTCAAATAGCTATGGCTTAAGTTCTTGGCTATGTTCGAATTGGGTGGCCTTATTTCTGATTTAAGAACTTTAGGTGACAGATCACCAGCTCCATCATATTGCGGAATGTCATCCTCTTCTTGAATATCGGTGGAATTGTTGCTGATTTCCGTTGGAAGAATCCTTTGATGAGGAGCACTTTCGAACGTGCTGCAACTAGGTACATTATTCTCTTTAGTGTTATTTTCGGATATGAATGACTGACCAGACGATTTTTGAGTAATATCCCATGAGCTCATTGTATCCAGTTCCAGACATGTTAGATTCAAATCAGCAATTTCATTGTCATCCTCATGATCATTTTTATTATCTATTCTAAGCAAGTCCGAGAATTGTGATCCAAGAACACTGTCATCGTCAACTATGGTATTGCTGTTAGACGAATTGCTTTGAGCCATATCCATCAACATCTCAACCAATTGCATATCATCCCCTGTTACTAAAACAAATGAAAAAATTCATGCGTCATAAACTCATTCATGTGAGTAACTTACGAATAGTTCGTATGTACACGAAAGAACATTCACTTACAAATACTACTGTCGCCATCACGATCTTCTCCTTTTTCCTGTACAAGAGGACTGACAGAAGTTGTCTTATCAGCATTAGTCACTAAATCATGATTACGTGTAAGTGTTCCATTACGTTCATCAGATGTCAAATGATTTTCAAGGCAGGAAGCACTCAATATTTCATCATTTTGTACCTCAACGGGATACGAAGATGGAGTATTACTTGTCGAAAGACTATTTTCATCGCACTAATCAACATAATTATATATTACTTAAACAGTCGAATAATATCTACATTTATATATTTCTTAAAGATTGTTACGTACTTGGGAAATCAAAAGCAGGCGTTGAGCCAATCGTTCTGCTTGATAAAGATCATTATCGGTAGGATTAAAGGGTGGCCTGTCAGGACTCAATGGGTTCATCAGCTGAGAATCACCACCATGCATTCCAGCTTGTGCCCTCCGAGTCCTCTCTTCATTCCAAATTGTAGCTAGCCCAGGATTTAAATCCAAACCTGCTTCTATTGTTTTCCTGTTAAGAATGTCTGATGCCAAAGCATCAACTTCTAGTTCACAGGTACTTTGACGTACGACAGAATATGCAAGGTATTCCTTTGAACTGGGTTCACTGTTATGATTACTCTCGCCACTTGATCCCATTTCTAATAAAGTGCGGGTGGAACGACGATATTTTACGTTATTTACATTTACAGTGCTCATGCCATAAATGTTGTAATCTATCATAAATTGTAAAATGTATGGGATATGAGCTTCATGTGGCTGTAGACTTTGCTTCAGTACTAAACCATTCTAAAAATTATTCACTGTATATCATAAGAGATTACTTATTAAGTCACTAATGCTGAAATTCAATGTATTAAACGATACCTGTAATAGATCAGTAGCTTTCTTGATCATTGCTGGATTATAAAAATATACTTTGAAAAATTGATGTTTCTTTTTGTGATATCCATAAAGCGGTCTACAAAGTAAATATTTTTTTACATGAGTTTTATGTGCCATCACACAAGCTTCATATAATATTTATAATTTGACAATTATTGACTTACATGCCAGATACTTTCTGAATCTTAAACACATGTTGATTTTTGGATGCTGTACATCCTAGAGATACATTGATTGCGGAGTCTAACGATGTGGCAAGATTATATGCGAGACTATTTCCATCTTCCATGCTTGTACATGGTACATAGATGTATGGAAATACTCCATGAATATGTAAACACGTTTTTTCACCTATATGTAGATATATTAAGTTATCAATTTATACAAACAATAACAGACAAATATTTGTAATCTTACCATTTTGCGTAGATCCAAAAATCCTAATAACAGGTACACGTTTCACTTCTGATCCACGAAAATCAGAATATGTGGGATCCAACCCAGGCACTGGTGCAGCTTGATAGCTGTCAGCAGTTACCAAGAGTATGGAAAACATCTAGTATATCTATTACAAACAGAATTTTAATATATTAATAAATATTTCCTATAAATAGTTTTAATGTGTATAAGTATTGTCCCAACACTGCCATGCAGATAATAATACTGGACACCTACCACAAATAATTGCACTGATTTTTATATATCTGCTTAATATAAAATGAATGTATCACAAAATATTAATAAGGAAAAAAGAGCCTTTAAACAGAGTCTAGCGAATTTTCGGCGCCAAATAATAAATTTCGTATAAGTATTCGTTAGGCACTCAGATTAGCGAAATAATTTTTACACTGCACCAAATATATATCATGCATTGCACGTGAGTGTTGCTACGCGCAAAATTCACCAAACATAAAAATCGAATGTGCAAGCACTCACCACGATTCTTTCTTTGAATATTGCAATTTTTAAAAGCGCTTTATACTAAATTCTTTCACGAAAGATGTCTATTGTCAAAGAAAGCCATTGCTTTACAGGCTTGATCTTGCAAATCGTTGTGCATACGTGCATTCATAATATTATCGTTACTAAATGGCGACAACTATTGTATTGAGAGCCAGCTGAAGAGCTTCATGAAATTTTCTAAGAGATAATGAACTCATTGGATAAGTTAATAATCGATACTTATCGTATCTTAGTAATTTAGTTACGTAGTTCGTAACTTACCGACGAAACAGTGTTTGTTGGATACAAGCGGATATTACATACAGGGCCATCTGATGAAAAATAGTTGATCTTTCTAGTTGTGATGTTTAAATTCATCTCAAAGATGGCTTTACCAATGTCTTCTCGGAATTGCTGTCCCCTTAAACCGTGAAATACGAATATTTAAAACAATGAGAATTGTATTATTACTTGTATTAATAAACTTAAGACTACTCGTCTCAGCAACAGATGATGGATCTAAGAAAAAATTGCAAATTGGCATTAAAAAACGTATCGACAATTGCAATGTGAGGTCAAAAAAGGGTGATGCACTGTATGTGCACTATGTGGTATGCTACAAATATTAATGTAGAACTTTTAATAAAAGTGTGTTACTTTTTAAATATATTTTCTATTCTAGGGTACATTGGAGAATGGAACAGAAATTGATAATAGTTCCAAATATGAAGAACCTTTTTTGATAACTTTGGGTTATGGACAGGTAATCAAAGGATTGGAACAAGGCCTCATGGGGTAGTTATTTAATTTAAACATTATTATCACATATGTTATACTCATTATTTTAGTCATATTGGTGATATTACGCATGTTTTTGATATTTTAGAATGTGTGCTGGTGAAAAAAGAAGACTTGTAATTCCTCCTGATTTGGCATATGGATCTCATGGAGCATTGCCAACAGTTCCTCCTGATGCTACTGTTATTTTTGTAATTGAACTCATAAAGTTAGTCCAGAAGGAAGTACTTTCACAGTCAGAAGAATTTGTTATGAGGGATGATTTGTAGCATTCTTTGTGAACAAAGGTCTCAGAGAAATGGACTGATGAACATTGAAGAGAAAACTATATTTTGTTTAAAAACCTATTGGATAGTCAAGAAAATATTTACAATGTATATTATTCTAATTAAGGTTTATTATATGGTACAATAGTTATATATATTAAATTTTATATATATAACAATAAAGCATATGAGAGAAGGCTCATTATTTAAGGAAGTTAATATATAATACAATTATGAATTATTAGTATTATTATATTTCTTATGTTTAATAAGTATAGTTTCAAGCTAAATTATACATTGACATTGTTCCAATGTTCTTTGTGCATTTATTTCTCAATTGGAACAAGTACCAGTTTGTTGCATGGTTGGGGAAATATAAACTTGACATTGTCTGAAGTGGCCTGAAGGCATTGCCCAATAAAGTGTAACACATGCTCTGGCACCTGCAAGTATAATCTGCCTTGAACAGTAGAAGATGTAAATAATATATAAGAATATGATTATAATAATACTGTGGATCAACAATAACGGTACAAATAATTTAGACGTAATATTAGTTCAGTAAATCCTTTTTTATCTCAATTCCATATGTGTACCTAAGTTTATTTTGAAGGTTATATTAAACTTGAGCAGTACAATTATACAGCTTACAAATTTTGATGTTGTGTATAGATAATTCGAAGTTATAACTTCTATTACACTTTTTTCCAGTTCAGTAATTTTTAAATATTTATAACATTTTAATATCTTGCTGTAAATTAATACATTAGCAAGATGATGGAACTAGAACGATTATCCTGCTTTCTGCGGAATGAATCACATATGGAGGAAGAAGAAGAAGAAGATCATGTCCCAGAAGAAGAACCAAATGATTTGATTGCAAAACGAGAAGAACGCAATAAAAGGTTTCAGAGGTAATATTATATATATGAAATTTTAATTTTTTATAATCAAATTTTTTAATTATATTTTGTTGTGTTCAGGGGACCCAGTTGGCATCAGTTTTGTGATGCTGTTTCTGACAATATTGTTCAATCTCTTCACACATTACATCAGATAGCTGTGGAATTTTGTGGTTTGTACTCTAAAATACATTTTGTATGTAAATTCTGTTATACCATTAAGTCAAATAATTTACTTTCAGAGGGTCAACCAATAGAAATGGCAAATGAAGCAGCAATATTTATGTTAAAACTTTTATTGAATGAAAAGAATATTACACAAAGTAATTTGAAAACTTTGCAGCAAATGTTTGGTGTTGTTACATCTGAATCCATTAATAAAATAATGCAGGTATAAAATGAGTAATACCAATTTCTGTCAGATTTATTGTAAACTTGAAATTTGACTATCATAATTTATATCAAACAAATTTTCAGGCTATTGCAAAAATTAGAGAAAACATAACTGAAGATGATCTCAACTTTTTATTTAATAATAGCAATGGAAACGATTCTATAAGTATGAATAAGTTAAATCATTTTGATACTAATATTGAGTATCACCCATTAAAAATTGAATATCCTGATACAAATATGCTGCTCGATATGTGTGCTCAGCATCCCATTCAATTGACAAGCAATTTCTCAATGGCATATCAAAATGATACAATCATAGCTGATAAAACAGAGGTTGGTTTTCTATTCATTGACAAGATTTAACTTTATTGAATGATAATAAAAAATTCTACTTCACAGTTTGACAAAAACCACTTGATGCAGGGTTTAAAGAAGTGTCACAGAAAATATTCTGATGAGATGAGCTATGAACAGTTCACAGATATGGTTATTAAGAAATTGGAAACTGCAGGGGACAATCTGCAGACCGATCTATTTGATCTGTTTGGATACGAGTACATTGATTTCGTTGAATACATGCTAGAGCATCAAAAGATAATAGTGGCTTTGCATGTTCTTCAAAAAATGCCAAAGAATATGCTTTGTAAGATTATTATTGTCAAAATCTTAATATTACATATATAAGCAATATATAAAATTTATGTGATTATTTTCTATTTAGCTCTACAAACACCTCAGATTGGCTGTCAGGTGATAGTTCAGTCAGAAAAGGAGAAACAGTTATTAAAGCAGGTACGCAAAGAAGAGAAAAAGCTCAATAAGTTAACAAGTAAATTGGAAGCAACGGATGATGGAGATGAGGATATATTTGACCCCCTCGAATTGCGTCAGAAACGTGTAGAAGCATTGAAAGCGATGCAAACACCAGTACTTTCGACAACAAAGAGGAATTTTGCACCATCAGCTATCCAAGAGAAGTTTCCTTTCGTATTTGATAGCAAAATAACATCTAAAGCTGCTGCTGGTACATAATAAAATTATTTCTACATCACTTTAAACATATATATTTTTAAAAACTTCTGTTATATACACAAGGTTTCATTTCTGGTCAAAAGATGATGCTACCAGAAAACGTCGTGAGAAAAGATTCTCAAATTTGCGAGGAAGTACACATACCAGTCCCTCCAGCAATACCGTTTGACGTGGGGAATGATCCTGTGATGATTTCTTCGTTAGACGAAGTATGTAAAAAAAAATTGTCACTGCTTTGGAAAATAAAAACTATTTTTTCAATATGTTTAATAACTACTTTTATTCGCAGATTGGACAAATGGCTTTTCACGGCATCAAATCTCTGAACAGAATTCAGAGTATCGTTTTTAACACAGCTTATCACACAAATGAAAACTTGTTGATCTGTGCGCCTACAGGTGCAGGCAAAACAAATGTTGCTATGCTCACTGTAGTTCATCAACTGAAAAATCACATTGAACTAGGTGTTCTACAGAAAGATCGTTTCAAAATCGTTTATATAGCACCGATGAAGGCTCTGGCAGCCGAAATGACTGCTAGTTTCAATAAGAAACTGGGTCCTCTTGGTGTGTCGGTTCGTGAACTTACAGGTGACATGCAGCTGACTAAAGCTGAGATTCAGCAAACTCAAATGATAGTGACTACTCCTGAAAAATGGGACGTGGTCACTAGGAAAGGAACTGGGGACGTAGCTTTGACAAGTATCGTCAAGCTTTTGATTATAGATGAAGTACATCTCCTGCATGGTGACCGTGGTCCTGTAGTAGAGGCACTTGTCGCTCGAACTCTTAGACAGGTACGTTATTTCTGTATACTCTTATTGTTTTTTTTTTGGATGTAACTTTTGTTCTATGTTGTCTGCTCTTCAAATATATTAATTGTGTAGGTTGAAACTTCACAAAGTATGATACGTATTGTTGGATTGTCTGCAACGTTACCAAATTATTTGGACGTCGCCAGATTCCTTAGAGTCAATCCGTATAAGGGTCTTTTTTATTTTGATCATCGGTTTCGACCTGTACCACTTAGCCAAACTTTCATTGGCGTTAAGGCTGTAAAGCCACTTCAACAAATGGCCGACATGGATGCCGTATGCTATGATCAAGTAGTAGATATGGTTCGAAAAGGACATCAGGTATATTTTAAACAACTATAGATATTTATCGATAGGCTGTTAGTCCAAGATCTTATTCATAGACCAATATCTTATTCATAGGTCATGGTATTTGTACATGCAAGAAACGCAACGATTCGTACTGCCACTGTGCTCAAAGAAATGGCTATTAAAAATGGTACTCTGCGACTATTCACTCCTGAAGGAAATACTGGATTGGCTCAGAAAGCTTTTGCCAAATCAAGAAACAAATATCTTGGCGAACTTTTTAGTTCTGGTTTCTCTGTGCATCATGCCGGTATGCTGCGTACCGATAGGTTCGTATATCGACACCTTAAATTCCCATTACGTTAAAGAGAAAGTATTTGTTACAAGAGTCTACATGTCTTTATTATTCATCTAGAAACTTGGTGGAAAAGTATTTTAGCGAGGGTTTGATCAAAGTATTGGTGTGTACGTCTACTTTGGCTTGGGGAGTAAACTTACCTGCACATGGTGTTGTAATACGAGTAAGAAAACAATATTGAGATTAAAAAAACAAAATATAAAATGTTTTACATATAATTTTAATTTTATCATTAGGGAACTGAGATATATGATGCGAAACATGGATCTTTTGTGGATCTTGGTATTCTTGATGTACTCCAAATTTTTGGTCGTGCTGGCAGACCCCAGTTTGATACTTCAGGTCATGCAATTATTATCACAAACCATAACAAATTGTCGCATTATCTGTCTTTATTGACCAACCAATTTCCAATTGAGAGTAGCTTCATTACTTATCTAGCTGACAATCTAAATGCTGAAGTAAGTGTAATCCTCGTACAGTAATAGCTTGAAAATAAATAATTGAAGGCAATTCTATAATGTTCATAAATTTGTCTTAGATAACGTTAGGCACGATATCAAACGTCAGAGAGGCTGTGGAATGGCTCAGTTATACATATCTCTTTGTACGGATGAAATTGAATCACTTGGCTTACGGTATTCATTTTCAAGACATGATCGAGGATCCGAATTTGGAACGTAAAAGACGAGAGTTGATCGATACAGCTGCTAATGCGCTTGATAAAGCAAAGATGATACGCTACAACTCACGCACCGGAGATCTTAGTGTTACTGGTACATAAATCAACAGTAGCAACGTTAAAAACAATATTGCATTAACGGTATTAAATCTGTATGTCGTTTTAATAGATTTGGGACGGACCGCAAGTCACTTTTACATCAAATATGACACTGTGGAAATATTTAATGATTTGGCAAAGCCTATTATGACGGAACCTGATATACTCGAAATGATATCTCGTTCTCAAGAATTCGAGCAACTAAAGGTATACACATTATTAATAAGCGCGTAAGATACGGTACAGCAAATGTTGTATTTGACTTTGTTCATTCAGGTCAGAGATGACGAGCTTGATGAATTGGATAACTTGCTACGAGATTATTGTGAGGTCGTAGCACAAGGTGGTGCCGAAAACGTTCATGGGAAAGTTAATATTCTCATTCAAACTTACTTGTCTCGTGGACGAGTTAATTCTTTCTCGTTACTCTCGGATCAAGCTTACATTACACAGGTTCGTATAAATTTTAATAGATATTTGCAAAAGTTTTGTTCTTTACTTACTTGTTTTTCTTATTATTGTATTTCTAACAGAACGCAGTGCGTATATGTCGAGCGTTATTTGAAATAGTACTGCGACAGAACAACGCCATAATGACTGGACGATTATTAGGAATGGCAAAGATGCTGGAACTGCAACAGTGGGATCATATGAGTCCCATGCGTCAATTTTATTGTTTACCTGCTGATGTTATTACGAAAATTGAAAATCTTCAGCTGACAGTTGATAAGCTCAAAGAGATGGATGTTCGTGAAATCGGTAATTTCACTAATGTTTGACCAAGTCCACTTTTACAATAACGGAATATTGAATCTGCAATAATTTTTTAATAGGTAACATATTGCGGAATCAGAAGACTGCGGCCTTGATAAAGAAATGTTGCGAGGAATTTCCATCCCTTGAATTAGAAGCGAGCCTTCAACCTATCACACGCACGATTTTACGTATCCGTTTGAAAATTCATCCGCAATTTCGGTGGAATGATAAAATTCACGGAAAGAGTTCGGAAACCTTTTGGATATGGATTGAGGATCCGGATAATAATTTTATTTATCATCACGAGTATTTTTTACTAACGCGAAAAATGGTTGGTTGAACTCAATCAATTTCACAACTGAAATATTTTGTTATTAATGTTGTTATGTTTCAATCATGATTATTAACATTTCTGTTTTAGGTATTCAGCAATGCCGAACAAGAATTGGTCATGACTATACCTTTATCAGAGCCATTACCTGCACAGTATTTAGTGAGAGCATCAAGTGATCGGTGGTTGGGTTGTGAGTCAGTCTTAGCATTAACATTTCATGATCTTATCCTTCCAGAAACACATCCTCCGCATACTGGTAAATTTAAAATTCTTACATCAACAACAACTGCAACGTAGAAATGAAATTTTCGACAAAATTTCATGTACTTCTTCATTTGTAGATCTGTTGGAATTACAACCATTACCAGTAACCGCATTGAAGGATTCCAAATTCGAGAGCCTTTACAAATTCTCTCACTTCAATCCTATACAAACCCAAATATTCCACTGTCTCTACCATACTGACAACAATGTCCTTCTGGGTGCTCCGACAGGTTCAGGAAAAACTATCGCAGCAGAGATTGCCATGTTTCGAGTCTTTAAACAATACCCAAAACAAAAGGTGAGATTGAACTTATATAACTTAGTGCTGTCTCTATGAAAATGATTTCAGGTTGTGTATATAGCGCCCTTGAAGGCTCTAGTAAGGGAACGAATGTCTGACTGGAAAGTAAGACTACAAGAAACACTTGGTAAAAATGTGGTTGAATTGACAGGCGATGTTTCGCCTGACATAAGAGCAATTGCTAGTGCTAGCGTAATCGTAACAACTCCTGAGAAGTGGGATGGTATAAGTCGTAGCTGGCAGACAAGAAATTACGTCCAAGATGTGGGATTAATAATTATAGACGAGATCCATTTACTTGGTGAAAATCGTGGACCTGTACTTGAAGTGATAGTTTCCAGAACGAATTTCATTGCTTCTCATACAACAAGGACGCTACGAATTGTGGGATTGTCGACTGCATTAGCTAACGCAGTGGATTTAGCCAATTGGCTTGGTATAGACCAGGTTCGTTGGAGTTGCATCAAGCTGTCAGTTGATAAGGTGTCAGAAAGAATTTTATTATTCTCTGTTGTACTTTATATAGATGGGTCTGTACAATTTCCGGCCATCCGTACGACCAGTACCTTTGGAAGTTCACATTAGCGGATTTCCTGGGAAGCATTACTGTCCTCGTATGGCAACAATGAATAGACCAACATTTCAAGCGATACGTCAACACGCACCAAATAGTCCGTCTCTTGTATTCGTTTCATCTCGTCGACAAACTCGTCTCACGGCTTTAGATTTGATAGCATACCTCGCGGCTGAAGACGATCCTAAACAGTGGTTGCATATGCCAGATGATGAGATGGATAACATCCTGGAGAACGTGAAAGATTCGAATCTGAAATTGACTCTTGCATTTGGCATAGGACTTCATCATGCTGGGCTTCAGGAAAGAGATAGAACAACGGTGGAAGAGTTGTTTGTAAACAACAAGATACAAGTGAGTATTGTTGTCGAGATAAGATTTGTTAACTTAAAATTAATACGATATACTGTTGTTCTTGTACAGGTACTCATTACAACAGCAACCTTAGCGTGGGGTGTTAACTTCCCAGCACATTTAGTTGTCATAAAGGGAACAGAGTACTACGATGGAAAGGCGAAGCGTTACGTGGATATGCCAATAACTGATGTTCTCCAGATGATGGGTCGAGCAGGTAGACCTCAATTCGACGATTCTGGAGTCGCTGTCGTCCTGGTGCATGACATTAAAAAGAATTTCTATAAGAAGTTCCTCTACGAACCTTTTCCTGTCGAGTCCAGCCTCTTGGATGTGCTGCCTGATCACATCAACGCCGAGATCGTGGCTGGCACAATAAAGAATAAACAGGAGTTCCTAGATTACCTAACGTGGACGTATTTCTTTAGAAGATTAATGAGGAACCCAAGATATTACAATCTTGAGGTTCTGGAACAAGAGGAGATCAACCACTATCTGTCAGAACTCGTTGCCAAAACTGTCAGTGTCCTTGCCAACGCGCACTGTATCGATTTTGACGAAAATGAACAGTCGCTTTACCCACTCTCAATGGGAAGAATAGCATCGTTTTATTATCTTTCGCATCAGACTATGTCCGTGTTTGAGGAAAGACTACAGAAGAACCTTCCCCTGGAGGAATATGTACGAATATTGTGTGAAGCATACGAGTATAATGAGCTACCAGTACGACACAACGAGGACATTCTCAACGAGGAATTAGCTAAGATGTGTCGATACTCGGTTGATAGATACAAGTATGATTCGCCTAATACCAAGGCATTTCTACTTCTTCAGGCCCACTTCTCACGACTGCCTCTTCCTTGTGCGGATTACCTAACCGATTTAAAATCCGTGCTAGATCAAACAATTCGAATACTTCAGGCTATGATAGACGTCGTTGCAGAACATGGCTGGTTAGCAAGTACTCTCAGAGTAATGCAGATTCTGCAGATGATAATACAAGCCAGATGGGTCGATGAATCTGCTCTGATCACATTGCCACACGTGGAGAAAGATCACTTGCATTTATTCTCCTCGCTACCAAAGAACTTGCCCACACTTTGCTCAGTAACGCACAATAATTATGAGAGGTTAGCCAAAGCTCTGCGATCGGAGTTCACAGAGAGAGAGATACAGCAAGTGCACAAAGTGATAAAGGAGCTACCCGTTATCTGCGTGGACTTGACACTTCAAGGGTGGTGGGCGAGTGGCGACCAGGAGAAGAGAATCCAATTGTCAGCAAAACCTGATCAATTCGTGGACATTCACGAGGGTCAAGACTATACTTTGGTTGTAGGTTTGAAAAAAAAGAATGCTTCGGCCAATCTGAAGGCTCATTGTCCAATGTTTGCAAGGGGAAAGGATGAAGGCTGGTTCCTTACCTTAGGCGACATTAGCCAGGAAGAATTATGGGCGCTGAAAAGGACTACTGGGGTCAGAGGGCAGCGCAGATGTAATCAATTGCTATTCACTGCTCCTTCAACTTTAGGTGAGTTGTCGCATAAGAGTCTTGTTTTTTTTTTTGTGCTATATAGGATACTGAATAATTTTGTTTTTCATTAGGTCGAATGAAATTGACATTTTACTTGATGTCAGATTGCTATATCGGATTGGATCAGCAATACGATATATATTTGAATGTGATACCGTGTCCAGCGGAAAATGCGTATTAACTGTATGAACAAATTTGATAGACCTGGAACATTTTTTACTGTAATGTTTTTCCAACAATTAAACGCTGTGCATCATTTTTATATGTCCAGTGTGGCATTTAGAATATAATTGAGATATTCCGAAATGGGTAATAAATAAGTTTCCTCTTGTATTTAATATATAATTAAACTTCAAATTCTATATGAAATAATATTGATTATGTTTATCGAGTAGCACATCACATTATGTAACTCTTCACTCGCAGCTTCTTTTTTTAAATTAAATTCCAATCGAGATATAGTTATGAGTTTTTAATTTTTTCCACGATTAGCACATTAACACTAGATTGCCCAAGAAAGTCATTTTGACTGCTTTTTAATTTCAATTAGAAAAACAATTATGTATATAATGACACAATTTCTTAGAACTTTGTGACTTTTTCTACAACATATAAATTCGTTTATTAATAATTGTAGTTACCTCCCCCCTCCTTCATTTCCGGTATATATATATGTGTTATACCTATATTGCCCAAAAGCAGTCATTTTGACTGCTTCGGAAATTTTAAATAATCAAAGGACTCTTATTATTGAATTGAGTAAAAATCTTATATGACCAGTTCGGGTCTGTATTGAAATATAACATACAAGCACATGATAAATTGTCGATTTGGGCGTATACTTGATAAGTCGCAGTCGCTCAATAAGTGTGCTCAATAATCTTTATGCAGTGATACTTGTTTTAACAAGTTGTTTATTTTATTTCTTTTGCGCCCTAAATTCATGAAAGAAGTGTCGAATAGAAGTATATAACTGTAAATAATATAAAAAATATAAAAAATTAATTTTAAACAAATTTCTTTACACATTAGTTATTCTTTCACAATGCAGTCATTTTGACTGCCTTGGGCAATATAGGTATGTACTAAGTTTCGGTCTTTCTAGTGTTAAGGCAGTATCCTGCTTTAAAAGGGTTCAAAAATCGATTTTTTTTTATTGCCTAAATCTATTCCTAATGTATCCAAGAATATGTATTCAAAGTATAGAGGCTAATTCACAATATTTTCAAATATACAGGAATAAACGCAATGGGGTATGGGCAGCTGGAGCGCGCGCTCCTTTACTTTAAAGCGCGTTTTCTCGAGTTTTCATTTTTACGCTTTTTCTAAACTGGCGGGCGTGATTGCAAGAAAACTAGACGACCAATCAAAACGAACCAAGGCTGGTTAGCTTCAGTTTTGTATTCTCTTCTATTTGAACTAAAAAGATTCATGAAAAAAGTTCGAAACAACTTTTTTAGCAAGTTAAAATGATTTTTTTTTTCACAAAAAACATTTTTTTCAAACTTGAAAAAAATTTTAGATGTCACAATTTTTTGGGTTTTTCTTAGTTTATCTAAAAGAAAAATATATGGAAATTAAAATTTTCTTTGGTTTTTTTGTTTCAAACGAAAATTGCGAGCTCCATCTTTCCCGCTGATTAGAGACTGCAATTGCAAGGTGTTGCACAAATGAGCATAAAAATCTGCTGTGTATGAATATTTTTCGCTCAAACAATTTTTTTAATGTTCAAATATGCAATAAAATAATCTTCTAGGTTAACTACACTTGCTTATTTTTTTCTGTTCTAAAAGAGTTCCCGGAAAAACGCTTTTTTTTAGGCCTCCTAAAGCAGGACACTGCCTTAAGTTAATTCCACAATAAGGGACTCGTCGGACCAATAACAGTAGCAGTGACGTGTAGAACTTGTAGGATTCCTGTGGAATAAATCCATCTCTTTGATGGATCCTTTCGCCTTTTAATTTCCCGTTACCATTAATATAAATGATTAAGTGTTAACAATTGCTTATTATTATCCGTAGAGAATATCTGGCGCTTACAATTCCGCTGCTGACATAAAAACAAAACAGTGCTGTGCGCCGACGCACGCAAAACTATGGGATTCTTATCACAGTTATGTAATATGAATTGTTGTTACACCGCAAGGTACAGAATTAGCAATAGTGTTGATAATCCTGTAGATTTTCGTTCGTATGCTCTAGTAATTTTTAAGTAAACCAACAAAGTTACCATTAAACAACTTATAGCATTCAAGTATATGTGATCCTCATTTACAGTAGTTAGCTTAATAGAAAAAATCTTGGATATATATATCAATTAAATGCATAATGTTAATGAATACTCGAGAGAAACCCTCGGAATAACAATCTCACATTATCACGCCCATTATATGTGGTTCTAATACAATATGCTGCCATTAATCCTTCGAGACTGTAAACAGTACATGATGCAATTGGAAGGACGTGAGATCATTCTGTTAGCTTGTTTTAAAAACGCAATACAACTTTCTAGTTTTATTCTTCTGAAATAACTTTGCATGATCTAAATCTATAAACGGATATTTATCATGGCACATATCGGTACAGATTGTTCATGTTACTGTCAGCTCAATCAATAATTCTTTTGTTCGTTTTATTAAATGTTCAAAAGTCTTATTTTATCTACAATTTTTCGTTAATTACACTTGTTTGCCACTCTAACATGAATATTCTGCCAATCTGTGCCAAATGAAAGTTGTTAACGCCACTGTAGTCGAACTTGTATCCAGTTATTCACAATGAAAAGAAGTGAGAAATTCTTTAAGCTCATTCAACCATCGACAGTGCTATTTATGGAAGTACCGAATGTCATTTATAAGTAGAGAACAAAAACTGTGCGTATACAAGTGGTCGACTAGGATACTAGAATAACATTACAGTTTCACCAGATTTATTTTGTATAAGGACTGTTATAAGAACAAGGCCAGGTATACAAATAGAAAATTTAAGTTGCTTTAATATCACACTCGCACGGCATTCGAGCTTTACTTAAATTTTTTTTATCACAATAATCACCAATCGCTATTTCGATTGTCTCAGTCGTTACTTGTAGTATATATCTTTCAATTATATTAAATCAATTCGTTAGGACAATTACTGTAATATTACTATAGTTTCCAGCATCGACAAATTTCACTTATCTCAGCATTGTCTATTAGTAGTCAAGGCATTTCATCACTCGACCACTAGGGAAGCACTGGCATAACTAACAGAACTATCATTCATGTTAATACATTGACTACTTTGAGCATACTTTAGAAATTTTAGGTTCATCCTTTGGCCGTTGGCATTTCCTTTCAAGCATTGGATAGTCTGTATAACAGAATAAGGTTAAATAATATTTTTGTGAATGTTACAAGCAATTTCATGATATGCTACCTGTAACAAGACTCCAATAGGATGGCGGCCGCATATCGTATTACCATATTTCTTAAGGTAATCAGTGAATGATGGAGAGTTCATAGTTTCAATGATGTTCATACCCTGGGCAAGTAATTGTTGCAAACTATTATTTCCACATTTTTGCATAGTGGTGACAATGTGACTACCATCAATGATACATACCATCTTGTCAAGATTCTGAATAGATCTATGTACAGGACCACATGATCTATCATAATAAGTGTAACGGAATCGTTGACCCCAATGACAAAAATCTGAGGAAATGACGAAGAGACTCTGCGGATCAGCCAGATAAGGGGCTAACAGTCTACCGTATAAAGCTTCTCTATCAGGGCTCAAGGATCCCACTAAAATTGGGACTATAGTAAAGGAATCCTTGAAGCTGTAATAAAGTTCCATTGAATTATCAATGTTAATTATTTAAATAATGTTCTTCAGCATAAAGACTTTGTATAATACATACTCTTCCATTGTTTTGGCAATGAATGGTAGCTGCATCTCGATGCTATGTTCTTCCTCATCCGTAGTCATATCCATCATCTCAAAGTGCCCTGTTTCTTTAAGTTCCCTGTACACTGTTTCACAAGTGTTAAAATATATTAGACTTTGCTAAACAATCACCTCAATAAATATTCTTATATCTTTGTACCTTGTTTGTCAATATGTAAATCATAAAGTGGGGTTTGATAAATAGAAGCCGAAGAAAGAGCACATCCTGCTAATCTCACATGATGAGATGGCCCTAAAATGAATATTCTGCGGCTGCACAACCGCGTACAAATTTGTCATATGAAAATTACGCAGTCTTAATATTTATAAGATTTTTAACGTATTGTAAATTTGTATACTGACTGTCACAAACTTACACGACAATTGGGCTTATTTGGCGATACGCGAAGCTGGCACATTCTCCACAGTAGCTGTACCCGGCGTGACTGGAATGTTTTATTTTTATTTATTTTGTAAAAATCAAAATAGCTTGAGTCTAACACATTGCTTGTATTACTAACGGCGAAATAATCGCCCTAGCTGGGCCATGCGATAACTCTGCTTCTTCTAACCAGTCTTCCAGTTGCTTATTTAACTCCGACCCTGTAACCAAACAATTGTATATTTATACAATGCGTTTACCATGTACATTGATTTTAATTATGACAAAAATTAGTCCTCTGTTTGCGCCTAAAGGTGCGTTCCACTGATCGCCCGCAACGCTCCCAACATCGTTGAGTCTTTAAATATTAAATGTATTGGATAGAGAAACAACGATGTTGCAAGCGTTGCGGGCGATAAGTGGAACGCACTCTAATTATACTTAGAATCATGACCAAAAAACAGTGCGTTTAATTGGCTACCGTCTGACTCACATCGCGACACATCTGTCAGAAAACAATGGCGCAAAGAGCCAGACCATCTGTTGTGAACATGTATGGTTACTTTAAACCATAATCCTAATCTTGTGTCTCTTGATTAATTAATATTCAGATATAACAACATGGAATTGGTACTTATTTTCCTAAATAAAGATATTAACCTTAAGTACATATCATATAATCGCATATTCCAACTAGGGGTGAATGACCCTGGATGATGATTTTGAATAACAAAAGGTTAAGAATTAAATGGAAAATAATACTAATAATATTTTTACCAGAATTCGTGTACCAACTTCCGGCATGAGTTGCTCTTCTAGCTAATGCCATTTTTTTCTTCAATATCGTCAAACCAATAAACTCAGTCGTTAGTGCTTTCTTCTCTCTATTGACGTTGTCGTTGCTGCGACGGCAACTATCAATAAGTTCAATGTATTTTAGAGGAATTTCGGACTGCAGCACGAATGGGAATGCTATTGAATTGATTTGGCCATTACGGTAGTCTCAATATGGGTGATCTAGCTGATTATAAATAATTCGAATTTTAATTTACGCAAAACGTTGGAGCACTTCTTATTCACCGAATACTACAGTTTATTGTTTGATTTGATATTGTTAAGCAATACAACTACAAAAAAAAACTTGTTGACACACTCTGACTCCATAAACTAATATAGCATGGCCTCTAGATAGACCACTCCCTAATTCAAACGTTTCATTTTTTGTATTTTGCATGTGAACGCAGTCGGTAGACGCGAGGATGCTATTGGTTGTGCAAAAAGAACCAGTTGAACAAGAGCCAATGGCATGTTTGATATTACTACTGTGACAATATTTCTTGTATTCGATCTCCTAAGCCGAATTTTCATGTAACTATGTAGAGAATTATTGAATTGTATTTCAATGAGAGGTTTTTGAAGTTACCTAAAGTTTTGTCACTAGTATACAAACTTTGGCGGTTAAATACTTAATATGACGCGAGTAACGAGTGAATTCTGTTCTGGGAGTAATTAATTGAGATTTTTATAGTAAAGCTCTTTAAATTGTTCTTTAGGCACCTCTTAAATAACGTTCTGTCTTTGCAGGGTGTCTTGTATATTCATTGTTCAATGTATTTTTCAATTTCATTCAGAATTACGTGATTTATCTGTACATTTCTGTTTTGATACTCATAGACATTAAAATATGGGTATAACCGGTTTAATACCTTTCTTAGAGAAATCATCTAAACGGTGCAATATTAGTCAATTTGTTGGAAGTACAGTAGCTATTGATTCTTACTGTTGGCTACACAGAGGTGCATTTTCATGTGCTGAAAAACTAGCGTTGGGACAAGAGACTGATGCGTAAGTGTTATCTATTTTAAATGTTTTTATAGTAATTTTGAAAGCATTGTTTCATACATATTCTCAGTTTTGTTAATGATTTATTCTGTAATTCTTCCTAGAATGTGTTTAAAAATTTTATATTCTTTCAGCTATGTCAAATACTGTATGAAATTTATAGACATGTTACTCGCAAATAGAATAAAACCAATACTTGTGTTTGATGGACGTCATTTACCTGCTAAGGCTGAAACCGAAGCAAAGCGAAGAGAGTAATGGAGCAAATTTGTATATCGATTCAAATTAATATTTGACTATAAGTAAATGGGCCATGAATCAAAAATAATTTTTAGATCAAGAGATGCTAATCGTCGCCGAGCAGCTGAGCTGATGCGCATGGGACAAACAGCTGAGGGCAGAAATTTATTAAGGAGATCAATGGACATAACGCACGAAATGGCACTTAATTTAATTATCAGCTGTCAAAGACGGAATATTGATTGTATAGTTGCACCATACGAAGCTGATGCTCAGTTGGCTTATTTAAATTTATCTGGTATTGCAGATGTTGTTATAACAGAGGATAGTGATCTCACATTGTTTGGATGTAAAAAAGTAAGAATCATACTGTTTCTTTTGAAATCAATATAGAACCGACTAATAATATATTAATTATTATAATATAAATATTTCAGATATTTTTTAAAATGGATGTATATGGTAATGGACTTCTTGTACAGCAAGATCGCCTTCATTTATCAATGGGTATACGCATAGAACATTTTGACATGGACAAATTCCGTTACATGGGTATTCTATCGGGTTGTGATTATCTAGCATCATTGCCTGGAATTGGTCTGAACAAAGCTTGTAGATTTATCATTAAAAATACGGACAGTGACATACACAGAGTGAGTTTAACATCTTTTGTTTAGTATATATAAATATTTGGAAACGTAAATGATAATTTACAGGCACTCTGTAGACTTGGCTCGTATCTCAATATGAAAACTCTGGTTGTATCAAAAGAATATCGTGACGCTTTTATGCGAGCACTAATCACATTCAAGCACCAGTTAGTATTTTGTCCTTTGCAAAGGAAGCAGGTGCGGTTGAATCCACCAACTAACGATATTACTCAAGAGCAGCTATATTATGCGGGCAAAGAGGTTGAGGCTGATTTAGCATGGCAATTGGCTCTTGGTAATTGTGATCCTTTCACGTTCAAGAAACTTCACGACTTTGATCCTGACAGTTTACAAACTGAAAGAGTAAGCATAGATCCTTTAGTCGTTTGGCTTTTGTTATTTCTATGTTTCTCCATCAGATTACACGAGGAAAATCAAATTCTTGGAGGACGAACAATATAAGTAAACACGTGAGCATTTGGTCGAAGGAATTTATCGTCAAGGAGAAACAATCAGCGAAGGAGGAAGAGACAATCTCATGGCCAACTACAGCTGGAAAAGTTGTGGTTCTAAAGACAACTGTAAAAAGGAAACACACTGCCATAAAACATGAGAGTCACGGTACAGTATTGTTGTAAAGTTCATAGCAAAGTACAAAGTTTATTATTTATAAAGTAAATTTCTTTTTTTTTAATTTCAGAGGATAAGGAAATGGAGACAGCGGAATTACTTGAGATGTATGGCACTCCTGAGTCTAAAAATGATTCAGAGGAAACAGAGAGCGAAAATAAAACAATGCTAAATCTAGATAGATCTTTTAATGGGAGTGATCAAACTTCACCAGTATTAGTAAGAAGTTCGAATCCTTTTGCTAAGGAAAAAACCAATCAAATCTCACCAAGCACTTTAAACGTTAAACGGAGGCCATTCCGCAGGCGTAATCTTGCGCGTTTTAAACCAACGGTCATTGACTCCGATGTTGTCACAGAGAGTAAATTTTTTCGTGGCTCTATATCGGTAGAAAAATTATCCTGTGATCCAGCAACCACTACTTCTAATGTAATTACAAATGAATACTGCAAAGAACAAATTCACCAAGTCTCCAAGGAAAATAATGAATCAGAATCTGGACTTTTATCAAATATGGATAATGTGTTCGATAAGGTAGTTGTTACACATGCATCTACTGTCATGGATTTTAATCATCAATTGCGACTTCCTATTAGTAAAGATCAAAGCATGGAAGTAACAGAGACAGAAACAACAGAGGAACTGAACTCCATTGTAAATGTTGTATCGAAAGTCCCATTAAAAGAAGTCTGTGACGGTGAAGTCGCTATGAGAAGTTTGAGAAATAATAGTGATGGTAATTTGACTGGAGAGAAGGATGATGATTCCAGAAGCTCGAGTTCTAAATCTGAATTAGATTGTTCGGTGGATTCTACCGATATTACTGATGCGAGGTCCAATTTCTCCCGGTGGGCAAATCCAAAAGCAAATATCGAAATCATAAATCGGATCGAATCGAGTACCTCGTGGAATTCATTGATGGGTTCACGAAGCATCAGCACAAGAAGTCAAAAAACGGTATTTACAAACAATTTTCAGCTTTTTTTTATTGTATCTTGTCTTAACACGTAAAAGATTTTAGAACACCGTGGGAAGAGGTAGAGGAATAAAGCGAACACAGTCTGGAAAGAAAAAAATAACAGATCAGGATCAGCAAACTAATTTAAAAATGTTCGGATTTCAGAAAAAGTATGTTTTTAATATTTGCTATCCTTTTTTGATACTCAAGTACACAAAGTTATGGATATATATATATATACTGTCTTTATTTTTTCAGAACCATTCTAAAGCACTAACAGTGGTATTCAGAAGAGTGAGTTTAAATCATAACATATACTAATTGATGGCAGGACCACCTCTCCATTGAGAAGAACAATTCCTTAATTTTTTGTGGTGTTAATCACCATAAAAAAAATGTGATAACTTATTTTCGAGGATGAGCATAGATAGTTTAACAAGACTCAGGGATAAAATTTTATAATTTGTATTCCTCAGTATCCTAAAAGATATATTTAATTATAAATGCAAGACTGAATTATGATTGACGACTGTATTGTCAATTTAAAATTGTATATCTAGGTACAGTTGCTAATAATTATCATTTTTAGGAATTATTTTTCATATAAACATGATTTTTTTTTAGTATTTTAATTCTTGTGTGTAATATTTAATGCTGCGTATAGTGATATGTATAATATAATGTGCGATAATTGTTCAATTTCTGTTTATAAAATTGTTACAAGGGTAACTGTTCATTTGATTGTTAAGTACATTTTGGATTATCCCGAGTAAGAGTTCATAAGTGTGCTTTTTAGGATATTTTTCATAAAAAGTGGTACAACTAATTTGTATTAAAAATTTAAAATTAATTTTTTTTAAAATAACCACTCAGCCCCCAATTTACACACCGTACAACCCAGTACATCTATACTTCATGAAAATTATGTTTTTACGTATGGCTATCGACTCCTTTCCTTTTAAATTTCGTGCAAAAGTTGGTAATGGTGGATCGCAATTATGTAAGAGAATTGGCTACCGATTTCATGCAAGTAGATGATATAAAGAGTTTATTATCATGTGGAAGACTTACACTTGAAACAAATGCTGCTTAAAGCTAGTCGGACGAGCTAAACGATAAATTATCAACGACTTCTGTCCTAACCAAAACATTTTTCAGTAAAAAAACGGATCTTCCTTCAAACGCCGGTTACTATTGAACGAGGTTAGCGATCGTTCTGTATTTTTGAATCACAAACTTCATATCAATGACTGCAGCTTTAACAATGCTGTTAAAGCAAACACACGTTTCATTGTTACGGCATGTAAAAAGTATTTTAAAACGACATGTACAAACGGGAGAAAATATTAAAACCAAAAAATATGGTGCCACTGTGTTATTGCCGCAAACAAAATTTCCAATGCGACTTAGTGGTAAAAAACGAGTTGATATGGACAATTATTTATTAGAGGTATGTTCATAATATTTCCTGTTGTTATTTTGCTAGTGGCATTTTTCCTTTCATTAATATACTACTTATGATTGTATGCAATACTTGCTATATATTATGTTTTTCAGAAATGTGGATTCTCCGAATTGTATAGTTGGCAAAGAGCCAATTGTAACGGACCTGATTTTGTATTACACGATGGGCCTCCTTATGCGAATGGAGATCCTCACATGGGACATGCTATAAATAAGGTATTAATAAAGTTTCAATCTTCTTTTAATGTCTCTATTGGTAAACTCTTGAACAAATTACGTTTCAACAAAACACTCCAATATTATCATTTTGTAGATCCTGAAAGATATCACTATTCGAAGCAAAGTGATACGTGGTCAAAGAGTGCACTATGTACCAGGATGGGACTGTCATGGTCTCCCAATTGAACTGAAGGCTTTAAACAGCATGGATAATACTGAGAAGAACTTAGCACCACTGCAAATCAGACAGCAGGGTAAGATTACTATGTTGTCTTATATACATGTAAGACAGCATATTCCAATATATTACATTTTACTAAATACAGCAAGTTTGAGAGCTTTTTAAAGCATACCCGTAGTGGTAGGAGATCATTGAAGTAAAAAGATGTCCTATCAATACGGAAACGCTTTGAAAAGTTAATACGCCATTATCATTAATCAATAAAGGTTAGTACTTTCAAGGAAACTTTGGATGATTCAAGCATTTATTTATTTATAATATATAATTACAACATTTTACTTTTTTGAGTTTTATAGATTCAGACCAGCAGTCTTTGTATAGCTTTATTAAGAGCATTGATACCTCTAGCAGTCAGAATGTTAAGGTAACTTCCATCATATTTAGTGCCTGCGATTCCCTTTGAAAATGGAGATTGTTTGTTTGTTTCCAAGTAGTATGTGCCATTTGCACTGAAAGTAAAAAAAATACTTATATCTAATATTCTAGAATGATTATAATTTGGTGGAGCTAAATGAATTCGAGAAAGAACTTACGTATTCTTAAATCCAAAACCCATATGGTCAATTATGTTTGAACATTCAGAGACTTTGTATTGAGTCCAGGAGTCGCAAAGAATAGCAGGGAAGGCAGTGGGATTAGTTACGGACTCAGCGTAAAATTGCCAAGCTCTATTGGTACCGCAGGCAACTGAGGACAGAATTGATAGAGATTATATAATCCAACGTAGGAACAAAAGTATTGTTTTTACAACTTACAACTTTTTAAGTTAAAAGGAAAGTTGCATCCAGGTTGAAGAGGATATCCACTGTTTGGATAGAAATCTGCGGTGCCAGTGGCTACTGCAGCACCCAATACACCAGCATCGGAATGAATAATATCAACAACTTTAGCATCAGTTGCTTCAATGTGGACGGTATCTCCTAAGTAGAAAGCAGGAAGAGCCGGGTCCAGGCCTACGAATTAATATAGATGGTGTAGAAACAATTCTTTAGAGACTCAAGGATAAACTGAAAAAATTATTACCAGTAATTCTCGATATAGGACTGTTGATTGAACGAGCAGCATTAGCAGCAACATGAGGTCCAAGTCCAAAACCAACAATATGGATGGTTGAAATATCAGTACCAGCAGCTTCCAAGCTTTCCAATATGGATCCTAAAGCTTGTCCGACAAGCATAACATTTACAACAATACCGCCTAAATCTACTTTAGCACGTGAGGGATAGTTGAGAGCAAGTATGTTGTGATCAGCACGCCCCAAGTAAGCTAGAATAAGTGGAATTTATTGTACCATCTATTACCGATCTTACAGTCAACTATAGTAAAATTCACAAATACCTTTCACAACTGTCTGTACACTTTCGCTGTCAGCGCTTTCAGTTAGTCCATGAATGTAAATGACAGTAGGAAGTGCGGGATTCCAGCCGAATGAAGTTGTAACTTCAGCTGCATTGTCGTAATTATATTCCACATACGTATCCACATCAGCTCTAGAATTTAATGGAAGATTATTTGTATGATTATCACTGTAACACTTATTGGGATAAATGTTGAATAAGACAATCAACATTGAACAACTGACCCATTATATAAGCGCAGAGTTACTTCTCCATCGGCTAGTTCCTTAACGGCAGCATTGCAGAATGCTACGTAAAGAAGTACGTTTTTCCAAATAATAAAGTGCGAACAATTGTCTTATAATATTGTTTAAAAATTTATATTTTAGTAATAATAGAGTACTTTAAAGATATTGAAATTATTATTTACCTGCTAATGCTATTAGAGCTATATAACCGTATGCCATCGTATTAACGGTTCGGAATAGTATAATATGAATTAGTGTGTTGAATCCTTCTTTTATACCGATTAAACAGCAAATGTGATACAAGGCATATTAAGATAATTCGCCTTAAATCAATAATATGACATGTTATGCTATGCCCCGTGTGACTCATTTAAATATACATAACTGTGCAAACACTGGTTTAATGATCATATAGTTATGGTTAATGTTCTGTAAAACATGATGCAGCGATAATGAAAGACAGGCACTATATTTTGTAGTAAAAATAACTTACGCAATTACCGTAAATCATAATATTTTACATTGTGTTGTAACAACGCATTCGCCTTGGTATTCCTCGTCATGGATATTTTGAGAACATTAAAACCTGACTTCTTTAAGCCGGAAATGGTCTCGTGGTTTTGATCTTCATTTGAAAAGCATTGAGTTGGGGTGTCTGAAACATCCCACGCGCCTATTACCGGGTTAAGAAAATTTTAAATAATTGTATTAAAAATATATATAATGCACAAATTGTATTAATTTTAAGTTTGTAATAATTTAGAGCACACAGTTAAAGAAGAATAGTGTGAGTCTCGATTATGTAAAGAGTATAATTACTTTGAATGCTTGACTCCGATCGCTATTGAGAAACATACCTGTGCTGTTTCTATAAATCTATTTTAGGTACTTCTACAATAGAATATAACTTCCTAAAATTTTGAGTGAGTTGTAATAATGAAGTTATAGTAATGCACTGGATGAATAATTGTATCGATAATATCAGATCCGAGGTTTTTTTATTCTTGTAATTTTATGTTAATAAACGTTGGTACTTTTTGTTTTTCAGCCCGCAACTTTGCCAAGAATGCGATAGTGAAGCAACGCGAAGTTTTTTCCTCGTGGGGTGTTATGGCTGATTGGAAGGAAACTGGCAGTTACTTTACTAACCAGACTTCATATGTAACAAACCAGTTGCGCCTGTTTCAACAATTGTACGAAAAGGGTCTGATTTTTAAGGACTTTAAGCCTGTTCATTGGTCGCCTTCTTCGAGGTATGTTGATCTTATGTGTTCTTTAGGGATCATTGTTTCTCTGGTATCATGAAATTGCATATTCTGCAGAACAGCTTTGGCAGAGGCTGAACTGGAATACAACAATTTCCATAAAAGTACATGTGCTACCGTACGAGTTGCGGTTTGCGATTTGCCTTTGGCATTACAGAGTTTTCAAGGTCGTCGAGTATTCGCTCTCACGTGGACAACGACTCCTTGGACTCTGTTGGCTAATCAGGCTTTGGCGTATCATTCTGATATCAATTATTGCATAGCGGAAGACGCACAAGGAAATCTAAATATTGTTGCTGAAGACCGGCTGAATAGTTTAATTGAAAAAATTGGACCTTTGAAGAAAGTAGCATCCATGACTGGTAAATATTTTCTTATGTAATATAAAAAACTGATTATTTATTCTACTCCAAATAGTTATTACATCTAACGAAATCTTGGTTGTCCTTGTTCAATTGCTTGATAGGGAATGAACTTGCTGGAGCAATGTATCTTCATCCAATATCTGGGAATCCTTTACCATTTTTACATGGAAGTCATGTGACAACTACTCTGGGTACGGGTTTGGTGCACACCGCACCTGCTCATGGCTCAGAAGACTTTTTGGTTGCTTTGGAGAACAATATACCAGTTGTAAGTCTTTTGTTTTAATCCTAAGTAAGGTCAACCGAGTAAATTTTCATATGAAGTGTTTCTTCAGCTAATTTCTTATGTTGCTTGCAACAGATATCTCTTGTGGATGAAAGCGGTCGGTACACCTCAGAAGCTGGAGGGGAATTTGCTGGATTGTTTGTGTTGACCGAAGGTTCCGAAACTGTATTAAAACACATAAGTGATAATGTATTGCATACAGAAATTATCGAGCATAGTTATCCATATGATTGGCGCACGAAGAAGCCTATCATAATGAGAGCCAGTCAGCAATGGTTTATCGATACTGCTGCTATAAAGCAAGATGCTTTGGTAATTGAATGCATTTTTTAAATCTAATTTAAATATATGAGTTTTTATCTGCATTTATCTATTATGTGATAGAATAGTCTGACCGGCGTGAAAATATATCCAGAGGTGAGCAGCCAATCCTCCCGTACAGCGTTGTTAGGTCAAGTTGAAAAGAGACCTTACTGGTGCATTTCTCGACAACGTGTATGGGGCACGCCTATACCAGTCTTGTATAACAAAGATACTGGAGATGTAGTTACGAACAGGTTTGTATTTATCATTCATCTAAGTTCGATAGATACAAATTATCTAAACTTTTTGTGTATTAGAGTTTGGGTTGAGAGACTTTGTAGCTTGATTGAGAAACAAGGACCCGATTGCTGGTGGCAGTTGCCTATTGAGAAACTGGCAGGGCATCAGTTACTGGAAGATTTGAAATTGGATGGTTCTCAATTGGAAAGGGGACAAGTAAGTGTTATTGTTTCTTTACTTATTTATTTTATTATAGTTTTCCTGTTTTGTAACAAAAGTTCAGTTCTTTCCTTTTTATGTAGGATATACTAGATATTTGGTTCGACAGTGGTATTTCTTGGTCCACCGTTTTACCGGAAAAACAAGCTGACCTTTGTTTGGAAGGCATAGATCAGTTGACTGGTTGGTTTCAGTCATCATTGTTAACATCGGTGGCGCTTCAGGGACGTCCGCCATATAAGTATGATTAATTTAATATATCTCGTATTTTTATTTCATCATCCACCCACGAGACTCAGCACAGTTTATTTACTTTAGAGCATTATTTATTCATGGATTCGCTGTGGATGAGAAATCTCATAAAATGTCAAAGTCCATTGGAAATGTTGTGAATCCGGAGGAAGTGACAAGAGGTGGGAAAGACTTGAAGAAAAAACCGGCATTCGGCGTGGATACTTTGAGGTGAGATAACGGAATTGATCTTTTATTCTTGTATAGTACCTAATGCTTGCGAAAAATTTTAAGTAGCTATAATAAAAGACGCATTCGAAGATCCTTTTTTTGAGACAGGTGGTGGGTAGCCAGTCATGGCAGTCAACACAGTCAAGTTCCGGTTGGAAATAATTTACTGAGCGGAAGTGCTGACGATGTTCAAAAGCTTAGGCTAATTTTGCGTTTTCTATTGGCCGCTCTGCATCCGTATACTTCTTCTAGTGCTGTCGAGCCACAATACTTGTATCTGGATAAATTTATGCTAGATCGACTGTACCATTATGATAAAAAGGTCTCTTAATATTTTCTTAGTATTTATTGATATTATTCTTTAATGATTCTTGTTTATTGTATCTGCGTGCAATATTTTAAAAGAGAAGAGGTTAAAGAGAGTGTCGCATATTATTGTTACAGGTAATGAAATTCTACGATGAATATCAGTATCATCATGTTTGTAAGACTATACTACATTTTGTCACCAATGATGTGTCAGCCGTGTTTTGTCACCTGATAAAATATAGACTTTACTGCGAGGCATTGACATCACCTTATCGTGCAGGGACTGTCGATGTAATTGGTGAAATCTTAGCAGTTCTTGCAAGATCAATTGCACCGATTCTGCCACATCTCGCAGAAGAAGTTTGGCTTCATCATCCAGAGAATCTGAGTAGGTTATTAACAATTAAAATGGGTATTGTGATCTAACACTGAAGCTTTTTCAGGTTCGGTACCACTGTTCCACTCTTCACATAAAATACCGGAAAGCTGGAAACAGCCACAAGTGGTGAAAGTTATTGATGCCGCGTTACGCCTCAAGGCTGAGCTCAATAAAGAAAACAAAGTAAACACTTGGCAGTTAGCAGCAACTGCCATTGTTGACTCCAACGATTACTCCTTGTTATCTGTACGTACTATTTTTACTGCTGACTATTATGACTCTTTCACATTTATGAAAACTAAGTTTACACAAATGTTCCAATTAGGTTTTACAGAATGAAAAACAATCCTCAGTATCTGAACTTTGTGACATTTTGCAAGTGTCATCGTTGGTCTTGGTTGAAGGTAAGGAGAAAGGTATAACGGTGGAAACTGAACCGACGAACAAATCACTCTGTCAAAGGTGTAGAAGACATCCCGAATCAGAGCCAGGGGAACCATGTACTCGCTGTGCAAAAATTCTTGCTGTAAATAATGGATTATAAAATCCGGTATTTCTATTACCTATTTTCTCCACAATTTTTGTACTCAGAATTCCGTAAAGTAAAATAGAACAATTATAGTGATACGATCATACATTTTACATCTTATACAACAGTACTATTTAGATGTTAACGTCCTAATACTTTTCTTTTCTTTAAACGTAAACCCTGTTCCTCAAAGCTGGTTTATCAATAATTTTTATTTCTTGCTACAAGTATTTTCTTCTAGTACCTGCAATCATCAGTGCAATTCGCGCTTATAACACAGCATTACAGTTGAAGTAGCAATCCAAATTGCCCCAGTTAACTTCTTTACTGGAAGGTTGAAATTTCAACTACTACATGTGATGCATTTCATTGAATAACGTGAAAGTATACGATGGATGTTACGCTTGCGTGTAATGTGTTTCTTCGCCTCATTTTCCAAGTTGCGAAGAGTAGAGCAGAATTCGAAGAGGAAATGATTCCTGATAACAAAATTATTAAAAATTTTTAAATATAGTTTTTTCTATGCGCCACCTAAGCGGAGGAGCCTCGAACCAGTCTCACGTTTGCAATTGATCGAACGTATACTTACTTTCGAAATTTATTAAAAATATAAAATTGATGCTAAATCAAAATCTCGCAAAATATAGGGAGAGGATAGAAATTGATTTGAAATGGTAAAATGTAAAAAAAAATACGCTCAAATTGAAATATTAATAAATTAAATGCTTGAAATATTAAAATAATTCATTAAATCAATAAAGTTAGATATCAACGCTTCAAAATGAGAAATATATGGCCAAGAATATTCAGAAGTACGGAAAGTTACCGAAAATTGTGTGCCCGCAGGACTCGGTGAGTGGGAGAGCTAGGGAGTGGGGGGCGAGTGCCCAGACTCGGGCGCTCATTCTTCCTCGAGCCGATCTCCTGTACTGGTCTGTTGGAAGCACCCCTCTTATCCATCAAGAGACTCGGTCGAGTCTCGCGCCAAGTACAGGCAACCGGCTGTACAGGGCGCAGCGCGCCGAGACTCTTTACTCGAGTCAACTCCTTATCCCCCAAAAAACACTTACGTGTAAAAAACTACGCCAAGTACAGGATTGCTGTGAATTCCTTTAACAAAAAGTATTGATATCATATTATTGAGGCCAAGTACATAAGTCACTACATGTTTTCCTATTATATGATCTAGCACTGGCCCATCATTTTAATTATATTTTCAATATTTCCTATAACGTGTTCGCTACTTTTTTATGTTACTACTGCGTCCCGTATTTAATTATGATTTAATGGTGATTTAATAATTAATAAAACTTTAGGTGATTCCTTATCGAGTACTACTTGGCGGGTCCATGCCAGGAATTCCAAAGTACTTACTCTTTACACGTGCTCATAGTATTCTAATGCTGTATGTTTGTTATTAAGCTTTTTCCGTGATTATTTTTGACGAGTTATTGTTAATATGCTTTCAATAGAAAATTGGTACTGGTTTTGTACCTAATTTATATCAAGAAATGCACGGACCCGCCAAGTAGTACTCGATAAGGAATCACCTAAAGTTTTATTAATTATTAAATCAACATTAAATCATAATTAAATACGGGAAGCAGTAGTAACATAAAAAAGTAGCAAAAACGTTATAGGAAATATTGAAAATATAATTAAAATAATGGGCCAGTGCTAGATCATATAATAGGAAAACATATAGTGACTTATGTACTTGGCCTCAATAATATAATATCAATACTTTTTGTTAGAGGAATTCACAGCAATCCTATACTTGGCGTAGTTTTTTACACGTAAGTGTTTTTTGGAGGATATCACAAGTTTTTGTTGCTCAATAGGATATATGAAAAAAGTTTTAAACACTGAAATATGTATTGTTAAACAAATATAAAATATAAATACATTGCAATGTCACTAATCAGATAAATATATTGCGTTGTCGAAAATGTTAAAAGCCATATAAATGTAATTTATAAATTGATTTTTCTTAGAAACACAAAAATATATATAAATTTGAAAGGAAAGTATATTCCTAAATGTAGAATAAAATTCATTTAGTCTTAGATACAAGAAACTACGGAGAGAACACCTGGACACCCTGGACTTCCACATCCGACACCTAGTTACAGAAAACTACGGAGAGGAGCATCTGGAAATCCCATATATCTAAAAATTGTCACCTAAAATACGAGGAACTATGTTAAAGCACACACATACACACATACGTACACGCATACACACGCGCTCCAGATGAAAGCCTTAATAATTCTCTACTATTGTGAAAGCAGCCTTATGTCAACTGGAAATTCGGTGTGAACGGTAGCTTCACGTACAAAGTGTATTTGATTGTGTTGTGTATTCGTAAATTACCAACACCATCCAGAGTACAAATAGGTAAAGAAGGCAAAGCAGTCAGCGCCATCTGTTGTGTAAAAAATGCGATGGACGTGCGAAGACGACGACGACGAAGATGCGATGGATGTGTGAAGGCGACGACGACGACGACGGAACTGAAATAAAATCATCTCGCTCGCCATTTCAATACGCCCTGATCTCGTACACTAATCGTATTAAACTTGGTGGGAATCGCTTGAGAACCTTCAATTCCTATAGTGAATGTATCCCCCAAAAAACACTTACGTGTAAAAAACAACGCCAAGTACAGGATTGCTGTGAATTCCTCTAACAAAAACTATTGATATCATATTATTGAGGCCAAGTACATAAGTACTTAGTACTTTGTTTAACAATACAGATTTCAGTGTTTAAAACTTTTTTCATATATCCTATTGAACAACAAAAACTTATGAGATCCCCCAAAAAACACTTACGTGTAAAAAACAACGCCAAGTACAGGATTGCTGTGAATTCCTCTAACAAAAAGTATTGATATCAGATTATTGAGGCCAAGTACATAAGTCACTACATGGTTTCCTGCGACGGCCCTCCGCTCAGGTGGCGCGACGATGCCAAAATAAAATTGGTTTCAAGAAAATCGGCCTGCTAGCAATATCCCTGCTTATTTCTGTATGTGCTGCTATAAATTTAATAACATATTAATCCCCGTTTCTCCTATTACTGGGTCTGAAAATTCCAGAAAACATATAAAACCCTATAAGAGTCTGCAAAACACTCGCTCGCGAGATTTGAGAGATGGGAAGACACGAAACTATACCTACAAAAAATAATTTGCAATAATAAATATTAAATTCCAAATCAAAGCGATGACAGTGGTTGCCTATAAACGAGTGAAGGATCATCAATTTATTTCGTTCTATCACTTATCACACTTGACAGATCGTTTAACAAGGAAGAGTATACAGGTAAACTCATAGGTCCAAAGTAAACAAAATGATTTAATCAAGTGACACTTTCCTGATATAAAATAATAATACCTCATAGCTGCTAAGCCAACCCCTAAAGTACCCCCTGGCTATCATCCACGCATGTGCTTACCCTTATAGCCATATATTTTCCAGTCTTTTTTCTCTCATTTCATCTTTATTACTTTATATTCTCCGTCGCAGTTTTATTCCCACCCATTGCGTCATACGCGCTCGCTGATTCCGCATTTATGTATTCTATTATGCGCTGTAAGCCCATTGCTGCTGCGTTTCTCGCCACGACGATGTTATTGCACGATTTAACATAACAATAAAGCAGGCGCGACTCATTGTTGCACGAAATAATCTTTTCGACCTATATAACCCGTATAGGACCTTAACAAAGTAGGAAAAGATGCCTTTGAATATCCAAAATATCCAAGCTAAAGCTACTAAGGTTCTTTGCAATAGCTCAACGCCATTCCAAATGTCAATATTATAAATAACCTCTCACGTATACACGAATAAGCTTAATATACAATTGATACCGTTACTTGACAGTAACCCAACAAACACAATATTACATGTAACGTTAGCTGCAACGTGTCCTTCTTTTATATAACGTCGATTGGTACATTGAAGTTATATAAGTCTTGAGCAAATAGCAACTAAAATTACATATAATATTATTATATGAGTATTTACCCAAATACAAGGTGACAGTTGCATATGGACAATCTTTTACTGAAGAACCTAAAAATTGATATCCACAAATTATTTTAATACCTGTTACATCCTTGAGTAGGATATTTTAACATTGAGGATATGTAACTGTTACTTTTTGTTTATTGGGACACATATAATTATTGATAACTAAATATTTTTATTTGATCCACTTAATATTTACAGACACTCTGAAGTATTCTTCCTGACGTCTACACCAGGAAGTCCTGATCACAATTGAACAGCATCCCAATGCCAGTTTCCGAAGATTGATCCATAAAAAATCCTTTGGGTACTAACTGACTTGGTGATTGCGATTGGTGATTACCGCAGTTCTGCATCCACGCTGTATTTCCCGTCAATAGGGACTTTTAAGTGCATGGGAAGCGCAGCTAAAAAACAAATGCATAAGGAGTAAGAAAAATAATCAGGTGAATTTTAAAAGCGTTCCACTGGCAAGCACGTGGAATAAATTGGCATGGTAAGCTCGATATACGACGCGATCTCTCCTCTGTCATCAAAAGCTCGGCTTATGAATAAATATGGGACAAGTTTTGCGTATGAATATTTTCCCGGTTCGTACTGGATCATCTAGCACGTCACCGCAGCTCACTACACTCTCGTACTGACTATACCGACTAGCGAGCTACCCTCTGTCATAAAGTCGCCGGAGAGGTAAAGAAAAGAAAAATAAATAAATAGGATCACACGTGAACAGAGGTATTTCCACAGAACGTTAGACCAAATTGAATTTTTAAATGAAAGTCTTAGTTATGCCACGGCCAAATTATAATTAAAATGACAAAAAGTGTAATAGTTTTGTATGGGAATGCGGATAGTGTATAAAATGGTTGACGTGAACTTTCTAAAAGGTCTAAGCTCTCAGTTTTCCTATTACTCTGTGACAAAATGACTGGTGTAAGCTGATAATCAATAAATCTTGAGACCAATTAAACTTATTTTATAAAAATTTCTATCAGATCTGTTTAACCAGATGTTATTGGTCTTATTAATTTATGCTCTTTATTTATAACAGCTACATACTGCTTAATGCTAGAGTTAATAAAGTTATAAGCGAATCATCGATTTGGTTCGATCGTTCCTGGCTCGGAGTACAGTGTCTATCGCGCGTACTCAACTATTAATAGCAGCCTATTTATAAGAATTGCGCAAGTAGAGACTAGGAGGCGCGGGTAAGTTTGCTATGTGAAATTATACCCTTGTTAATTATATATAAAAGTTTATTATCTCTAATAGGATGTACGATGATCCTTTCTTGGCTGCAGGCGAGTGTCACACCCACGGGCACAGCCGTCATCTTCCCACTGATGAGGCATCACGTTAATGATAATTAAGCAATGATTCTTACTTATAAGGTATGTACATTGTATTATTAGGATATTGATGTATTATTTAATTATAAGTACATTTTCTTAAGATTAATTAATGTATATTCTTATAGAGAAATTGTTGTAGCCCAGGCGCCCTCACACACCTGAAACTTTGCTCACCTTTTTGCAATAAAACTCAATTAACGAGTGCACGTATGGCCAGGTCAAAAGCAAATTTCAGGCGTAAGAGTATAGCCCAGGATGATGACTGAAATTTGGTAAAGGTAATAGGAGGATCGTAACAGGAGAGCTAATTGCTAGAGTTACAAGCTAGGATACTACTGAACGTCAGTTATGAGAAACGGTGAGGTGGGGGGTGGGGGACTCTGGTGAACACGGACTGGAATAAGACTTTCCGGATTTTCAGGATCAAAGAAATGAGGTGGAATTATTTGAGCGTCCAAGAAAGGTGCGATAAGCGTGGTCTTGGCGCGTGACGGGAATACCACATCTGGGAAATAACCAGGCTACAATTTGTATGATTCTTGAGAAGAGGGAAAAGACGGTAATGAATATATATATACACATACACAATTCTCTGAAATAGGAAGAGAGTGACTGGGGAGCGAGTGAATGAACAACTGTGGGATTAGCCAAGGAATAATCCCAGAAAAGGACACGAATGAGTGAGGCGAAGTAAGCCGTGGGATATATGTAGGTAAGTATTGACTGGTGGAGAGTAGTAAGAGAGGTAACGGAGAGTGAGAAGAAATTGAAGAAGTAGGATAGGAAATGGAGTAAGAGTGAATAGTGCTAAAGGTGAGAAAGAGAAGAGTTCAAGACAGGGAGCAAGGTTTCCAGCGCCAGAGGATGTTCAGCTGTCTTGTCACCTGGTTCGATCCAAGACTCAGGGACTCAGGGAGACCATTAGGCGACTACTCGTGAGAGACGAAGATAAAAAGTAAAAGCAATGCCAGGAGGTTTAGGAGAAGATGAACATGGCATCCGGTTTAAGAGTCAATGAAGGACCAAGGTCCAATATGTCCAGGATGAGAGGAATGGAGAGCCGTAGAAGACTGTTCCTGGATGAAATTAGCCGGAAATTTTTAGGAGACCCAGTGCCAGGCGAGGAGGAAGTTGTCTTCGTCCTGAACAAAGGAAACATGACTGCGTTACACGTGTTGCGTAGCTGGTGTGACAGCCCCATAAATTGGGTAAGATTTTATGGACGTCCCTTTTGTATCTACCATAGACATTACGTCACGGCTAATTGTAGCAACCATCTCCGAGGTGATCCTTTCGGCAGACTGGCGTCGCGACGTACGTCGACGCTCGGCGTATAATCAGGCTCGCGAACACACCTGAAACTTTGCTCACCCTTGTGCAACCTCACGGGCAGAGCAAGGAGTCAGGCCCATGCGCAAGCCCTTTAAGGAAAAGGATCCCGACGTTCTCCACCGTGACACGGAGACAGCGGAACTGGGAATCCGGCAGACAAAGAGGTTCAAGGAATTTCGAAAATTACCAATAAACTCCCTCATCGATGGATTATCCCATCTCGCAAGGGTATCCAATCCACGTTGACCGTCCGAAGGCCGAGGATCCCATATAACGTTGAAGGGCTGAAACAGAAGAAAAAAAATCATATATACAAAAGCCGCCTGTATTTTTTCCTAATTACCACTACCCCCATAAATGCCCCCTTCAAGTCACTTGATCAGTAGCGTATCGCTAAGATCGCGTAATTGGCTCCATTAAGCGTTCGAAATAGACGCGGCGTAAGATAAAGTTTCAAGGGGAGAGAGAAAAAATATTTAAAAAATAAATAAAATTAATATAAAAACAAAAAGTGAAAATATAAAAGATAGCAAAAAAAAAGAAAATCAAGTACAAGTGCGCGAAGGCCAGGTCGCGTCTCTCAACTCTAATTAGCAGCTTAGCACGCTGGTTATGTAGATCGTAGCTGGGGCTAGTAATAAGGAGAAGACGGCAAAAGCTCAAGCGAACCTACGAGAATCCAGTCTCGCTAAGACATTAATACCAAACATCCAATCTAAGTACAGTTTTAGCCAAGCTTTGCTACGCGGGTCTTCCCGGGGAAGATTTCCTCTCTAAGGTAGTCCCTCCCCTCCCCCCCCCACCCCAATAGTCCTGAGTTTCAGTCGA